AATTGTCGTTAAGACATTGGAAGTTTCCCTTTGAATATTCCTTAAATTTTATAAATACCTTTGAGTATTTCGAAAGCCCCATCAAAATGGTAACAATAGGAATATTATGATTAAAAGTGAAATCACAATTAATTGTAACTTGATTGCAATTTTCTGATTGGTTGTAATTAAATCACAATTTTCTGATTGGATATCATAAGTTGCAATTGATTAAGGTGTCATCTTTAATTATGATACAATAAAAAATATATGCAATATTTTGATTTTTAGTAATCAAAATTGTACAAAAATATTATCATTTGACTTGTCATGACTAGATGAATTGAATATTAATATTTTTATGTAATTCTGATTACTAAAAATTAATATATTATCTCTAGAAATTATTATATAAAGATAGATAATATATTATGAAATAGTTACTAAAATAATACATAATATAATATATTCTAAATTTTTTATAATATTTAAAATTCAAAATTTTTATTATTTTGAAAAAAATTAACTGGTTAGATAAATATATCTTTTATAAATTCTTATATTTTCAATTTTGTATTAGTTCTTATAGTCAAATCTCTTTATAATTATATGTATTTATAGTTATACTTTTATATAGTTATACTATTTTGTTTTTCTATTTATATATAAATATAATAAAAAATCTTTCTATAATTATATTACCTTTATAATCATCAAATTTTGCTTTTATAAAAATAATAACTATAAAAGAATTTGACTATATTTTGATTCTTAAATATTTTAATTTTTTTAAATAATAATTTATATAGTTATAATATAATTATTATTAGAATAAATTTTATAATGTAAATTAATATATATTAACAAATTCAAGAATTTCAATAAAAAATTTAATTGCAGATAATTTTTTTTAAGTAATTTAGTAACTTGTAAACTCTCAGTATTAATTATAATAATGATTAATAATTAGATTTTTTGATTTAAAAAAAGATGATAAATATTATAAATTGGATTAATTGATTAAATAATTTAAGATATTTGACTAGAAAAAATAGTTATTTAAATTAGAACTAAGTATGTTAAAAAATTTAAATTTAGATCACTTATCTAAAATTCTAAATTACTTCTCATTTTCAAAAATTTTTCTTTATAAATAATATCTGTAAATACTAATATAAACTTAAAAATTAATAAGTATTATTAATTCAATCTACTTGTATAATCTTCAATTATTTAACCAATTATTATCAATAGATTCTTTAAATAACAATATAATTCTTTGTATTAGTTATATATCTTTTAGAATTAAAATAATAAATTTATTATATATTTATATAAACTCTAATCATACCTTGTAAATAAAATTATTTGCTTTTACTTTTACTAAAATCAATATACTATTGTATAATAATTGATCTAAATAACATAATACTATTAAGAATACTTTTTAAGTACTTAATAATTCTTCAATTAATTTTAAATTTTCAAGTAATAGAAATATTATGAAAAAATTCAAACTTTCTGAAGTTACTCTAAGATATTGTTATGATTCAAATATTTATATAATCTATATAATCTGCATAATTTGTATAAATTATAAATATTATAAAAAATATAGAATTTGTAAAATTTGTAAAGTTTTTCCAAATTATCTAAAATATATAATTATTTATAAATATAATATTTATTAATAAAAAATATTAAATATAAATATAATTATTTTTGTAACTATAAAAAAGAAAGTTATAACAATTAAATCAATTAATAACTTAAATAAAAATATTTTATACTTTAAATTATATTTATTAAAAATATATTAAAAAGTAAAACAAAGATAAACAAAGAAAAAACAAAAAAAATAATAGAAAAACAATAGAAAACAAGAAAATAAAACAAACAAAAATAAAACAAATAAAAGAAACAAACAAAAATAAAAAATAAAACAAAAGTTAAAATCAGGATATAATTTTCTTAGTTTATTTTAAGTTAATTTTATGTTATATATATAGTGAATTTAAGTTATGCTGATCTATATATTATTATTGTGATTAGATATTTTTATAATTACAAATAATTATTATATATAATTACTTCACATGATCACTTCAAATGATTATTCTAAATGATTATTTCAAATGATCATTCCAAGTAATCATTTTAAGTAATTATTTTAACTAATTATCTCAAACACTCTGAGTGATCATTATAAAAGATTATTCTAACTGATTATTTTAAATACTTTGAATGATTATTCCAAATAATTATTTTATAATTATTAAATACTTATAAATACAACATGTATTTTAACTAGTAAAAATATTTAATATTTAATAATTAATAATTAATAGTTAATAATTAATAATTAATAGATTCTATAATTCTTAAAATCTCAAGAATAATCAATAATATATAATAAATTAATAATAAATTTATCTATTAATAAAATTATATATAATCAAACTCTTCTATAGTTATCACTCTTGGGAAAGTAAAATTTGATAACTATAGAGAGAATATGATTATAGAAAGATTTTGTTTATATATAAATAAGAAAGCAAAATAGAGTAAGTATAAAGAGATGTGACTATAAATAGATGTAATTATAAAGAAGTTTAACTATATATTTATTATTATATTATAATCTTATAATAAGAACTATATATTTATTATATAACTTTTCTTAATAAACACTCACAATATAAATTCCAAATCTTATTCTAGCAGATCACATTATAAACATACTGTTATCATTATTCTAAACCTATTATAATTATAATATAATACTTAAAGTATTATATATTTAATTATATTATTTATACTTTTTTACCTATTACTATTAATATATACTATTATAATTATCCTGACTAAATATTTTATTATAATATTATAGACTCTTTCTCATATAATTTCAAGATAACCTAGAATAATAATAATAATATAAATTATAAAAAGAAATCAATAAAAATATAAATTTATAATATGTTAAAATATAATAATTATTATATAATATTAGAAAGGAGTTTGTATAAAATCTATATATCATTAATTAAATTACTATAACAAAAAATAAAAATAAAGTACCAATAAAATTTAGAATATAAATTAATATAAAATTATTATAAATTAATTGGTTAATTAAATGATAATGAAATCTAAACTAAAATATTACAATAAAAATAAAGAATAATTGAATAAAAATTATAAATTATTGTTATTAGATAAAAATAAAAGAAAAATATAAAATATAAAAAAGAAATAGAAAATACTAGAAAGAATATTACTGCACTTTTAATAAAAAATATATGTTAAAAAAATGATGAAAGATAAAATAGTAATACTATATTAAAATCTATATATCTTCAAAACTATACATATTTTTATATTTTCATATTTGGTAATTTTGACATTAATACAACATCTTATTAATATAATCATCCAATTAATTATTAATTAATAATTTGTTTGATTAATTATTATAAGAAAAAGATATAATTAATTTTATCACATGTATATTCAAAACAATTGAAATATAACTGTTTAACTTTAATACAATTAGTTCTGATCATTTTGATCCTTTATTAGTAATTGAATAATTTGATATTTTTTAAAATAATCTGTTTTATTACTTGTCACAAATATAATATCACTTTCATAGTTTTTTTTAAGACAAAATTCAAGTCATATATAAGAAAATGAAATTAAAAATCAATATTAAAGTTGAGTAATTAAAAATTGAATTAAAAATAATAAAAGAGAAATTAAAAATCTAATACAAGTTTTTTATAAATAATATTCAAGTATTTTTTTTCACATTTCACAATTAATTAAAGAGTCAAAGTTCAATATTGAAAATTAATCTGAGTCTCATCTATCAAAAAGAAAGAAACAAAAAACCATGTCATTTTTTCAGCTTGTTATCAATAAAACTTAATTAAAATTATTAAAAAATGTGAAGAAGGAAACAGAAAAAAAGCCAACAAAATCAAGCATAAAAAAGAAGTCATTGCTTAAAAATGATTAGTACAAAAAGCTAAAAAGACACAAAAATGAAAGATACAAGCACAAAAAAAAGAAAAGATAAAACAAGCAAAAGGAAAAGCAATGATTAAGGGAAGAAAAAAAATATAAAATTATACAATATAGAAATTTTTTGATTATCTAGATTTAATATTCATATGTATTATTTTTGGTTAATTAACCAAAAATTATAAACTTTTAAATGAAAGTTTTTTTATTAGAAAAAAATTTTTTAGTTTAAATTTTTTTATTTTAAATAAAAATAATTTTTTTGAAAATCCAAACAATTTATATTTAATAAAATTTTCTAATTTTATATCAATTCTATAAAGTTTTACTATTGATAATGTTAACTGTGTTATAATATTCATATTTAGCTTATCTAATTAAAGTTCTATCAGAAAAAATTATTATTAGTTAACTTTTTAAATTTTAAATTTTCATTTTAATTATAAATTTGGAATTCATATATACAAGAAATTAGGCATTCTTGACAAAGTTTAACATTGATATGTTCTAAATAAGTTAATTGTAATCTTCAACATTATATTATACAATTACAGATTACTAAATGAAAATACTTTTTACAGTCATATTTTATTTGACAAATCCAAAAAAAAGTGACTATAAAGATACATGTATATCAGTGTTTGCTAGAATACCATTAATCAAATATACTGATAAACATTTTTAAAAAGAACATAAATATCTATTTTTATATTCAACATTTAGGAATTCCTTTAGATCGATATAAAGCAATGTATGCGATATGCCAGTCACCTAAACAAAACCATAAAAAAATTATTATTTATATAATAACCGGGGATGATATTACTTGATTAAAAATACTAACCTCCTCCATCTCCATCCAATTTTTGAATATCTTCTTTCGTCACACTACTTACACGGTCATCATCATATTTGAGCCATTCATCTGTATTAATCAATACGAGGATTATTGATACTATAAATGATTAACACAATAAAGTAATGTAAAAAGACGATAACACTTGCCTGTATCCTTTTTATTTACCCACGCAACATAATGGCCTATTTTAATATATCGTACATAATTATAAGGATAAATTGAGAATATCAAGAAATCAAATACAACTAAATGCTATATTGAACCTGATTCAGCTGATCGCCCTTTATGTGTGAGAACAGCACAAAGTTCATATAGCCCAGTCACATTAGCGCCAATATCTTTTGCCAGTTCCGGATCTACTAATTTTTCAATTTCTTCAATTACAGCAGGATCTATTGTCGGTTTTTTATCTTTTTCTTTGGATTGTTCGTAATTTATCGCAAGCTTCGATTTTTTATTCTAATTTTATAATATTAAAAGTATTAAATAATTACTATAACTATTAAATTCAAAAATAAAAACCAATACGAACCGTTTCTTCTTGATTTTTTTCCAATTCCATTAACTTGGTCTTTACAGGTAGAAGTTTATTTTTCAGCTCTTCGGTACAAAATTCCGTCACATCTAACAAGAACGGAAATTTCACTTTGCGCATAATTTTGGTTCTGATACGTTCATGTTGTTTCCAAAAGAACCGATAAAATTGTATGGTGAGATACGCAGGTAATCGACTAATTTTTTGCGTTTTTGTGTAAATTGATTGTTTATTTAACGTGGGAGACTCTTTCTCTAGTTTTTCTTGTATTCTCTGAAATAAAAGTCAATTTAACGTTATTGTTCTTGTATTATTAAATTTTGTTTAATAAATATAATCGAGTATTTTCGTACCGCTCTTAATCCATCCATCAAATAATTTGTCGCTAGAATTGATTGAATAAAACGTTGTATAAAGTATTTTTGAGATCAATAATAAAAAGATGATGCTTGAACTTACATATATCTATGTGACAATCTAGTTCTATAAACGACTCTTTCATAATAACAGGAGGTTCTGTTGGAGCTTCATCACACGTTAATCTAAGGCAATACAAATCAGCAGTATAACAATATTATATGTTATTATTATTGTGCCTTCAGAAACAAAAAAAAAGCAAACACTTGCGTGATGATACGCTCTCCTGTCATATAACGTTGAACAAAAGAATCCTCTTCTGAGGAAGCCGATGTCGCCGATGTTCCTGCACCACTTTGTTGGAGTCTAGGAGGAAGCTTTAGCTTGGAACTTAAACAAGATACGATATGAGTCCAACATTCTTTAGCGTCTTGTTGTATGTATCCTCGATTATCTCGTTCAGCAAATTCAGGAGCAACAGCTCGAAGCGTCTATATCGTTATTATTTATTATTTTCTGCACTCAGCAAAATATATTATAAAATTAGATTTTTTGAAGAAAAGCTTTTACCTGGATAAATTCAAAAGGATCATAGGTCTCGGTTGTTCTGTTCAATTGTTGATAAAGATCACGAAGAGACTCAGTAAGACTCCCTTGGAGATCAACGCTACCAGAATAACTAAAAATGTGATGATGATGAAAATCGTATATCTCCAAAAAAAATCCCGAATTAAATAAACCTATAAAAAGTGATAAAAACCTATCTAGCGACTCTTGCAATTCAGGAATGGCGTGAAGACATTGCAATGTCGCGTTCATGTAACAGGTGTTTCCGTTATTAGTTAGACCAGCAGGTAATTTAAGCTGTACAATAAAAAAATAAATCCATGAATGAATACACATGTGTCAGTGTGCACAGAATAAAAAGAGAAAAATACCGTTTCTGCCAATTGCTGATCAGTCATGGTCTCAATAAACTGCGTCTTCGTTTCTGGCACCTTGGGTAATGCTCCAGCTGTTCCCATCATCTTTGAAAGTAATAAAAATAATCTAATCAAATCATGAAATATCAGAGTATTAATGCCACACGCTCTCTTTTACCATTAATGATGTGCCCTATAAATATAAATAAATAAATATATAAAATAAATTATCAGTTAATAGTATTCATTATCAATTCGATTCTAAAGGTACGGAAGAAAATACCTCTTTCAAATTAAGGCTATTAAGCTCTGTATCGTCCTAAATAAAAATTAAAGAAAAATCAAAATAAAAGAATAGCATTATCTAAATTATTTATAATATATATATATATATATATACCTTCAAAATTACACCTTTAATCAGAAGCTTTTGTCTTTCTGGTTCAACCCCAGTAATTGTATATAACTGAGTTTTGAGCACTAACACTGGTTCGTCAGTGTCCACATCAATCTCATATTTTTCTCCAACCCACTTTACATGCACTTTATAAATTAAAGAAAGGACAAGAACAATGAAATATTGATTCCATGTAGTTACCACAAAGCAGTATATTTTTTATTTTTCATATATCTAAAATTCAAGATATTAATAATACCTCTTGTTACCGGCATTGTCTTTGATAAAGAACTTCTCTGGATTACTCGGGCTCGATCTCCGTGACAGATTTTTTCATCAGTCCTGATTGTATATCCGATCAGCAATATTTTTGGTAACCGTCGATCAACTAACTCATTAGTATTTTTGCAAACGTGGTTTTCGAAAAAATTTTTTCCCATATCATCGTAGAGTATCACCAAAAAGAATGACTTATATTTGAAAACGGTGCGATATACTGTTAGAAAAGGCGAAAACAATTGTATAATATAGTATCAGATGATGAAATCAATCTTTTTCCCATGATTTTTACACATGGAGAAATGGTCTTTACGTTAAGTATCACACAATGATTATATTTCATGTACAAAATTTTCGTCTTATGAATAAGCGTACATTCATAAATCTTTATTTCAGGATCAATAAAGTCTTCTGTTAATCAATATTTATAAATTGCAATTCAACAAGAATAAAAAATAATCAAGTTGATGTTTGAGCATTTTGGGTATGGTATGGTAAAAAAAATTAAATTATTTATAAACTACTGTTATCGCTCTGAATTCACACTTAAACCTAACCATACCATACCAAAATGTTCAATCATACCATACTTAAATAGGTATCACTCGTTGAAAAATTTATTAAGTTGTATTATATTTATCTATTTAAAAATTATACAAAAGTTTGTGAATATTACGTATATTGCAGATTTATTGATTGTAAATAATAAAAAGAAAATTTCAATTTATCATATGAACCAAATCACGTGTACATAAACGTTACCACCTTCATTGAACATCTACTTGCACAATTTAAAAATGTCCAACTCAGAAAAAAAGCAAGCTAACTCGCATTTACAGCAAGAGTCTTTAGTTTTAAAACAACAACAGCAACAAGAAGAAGAGAATCTTTCTCTAAGTGAAGAATCTTCAAATGCAAAACCAACAACAGCACCTAAAGACATCACCACCAATACATCTTTCGAAGAGAAAAGCAGCACTTCAAAGAAGTCAAAAAAGAAAAAAAAATCTAAGGCCGCTATAAGTAATAATATGAATAATAACGCGACAAAGGACGAGATTGCTGAAATGGTTGAAAGAATTTTAAGGTATGTGAGGTCTTTTTCGTTATCGTGTCTTTGTTAAATATATTGATTTATATTGTAACATAGTCCAAGTGAGCCAACTACTTCTAATGTAAGCGGTAGTAGCAATACCACACCTCAAACTTGCCCAGTCAAAAATTGTAAACAACGCTTAACATTCACCAGTATAACCTGTCAATTTTGTAACAAGCGATACTGCTTAACGCATCGGTGAATATACAAACAACACATATTTCAATTTTAGGATTCACAGGCTTTAGTGGTTTTTGTAATATATATAATTAACAATACTGATACATATGCAATTTCATTTGATTCAACAGGCTCCCAGAATCACATTCTGAAAAGTGTGCAGAAAAAACGCGACAATCTGCACACTCCAGTTTCAAAAGTGACTCGATACGTTTGATCACGGAGGAACGACGGAAGCCGGGTATTATCAATACGAAAGGATTCAGCGCGGAAAGAAGTAAAGAGGAGCTACGGAAACGGTACAAAGAGAAAATGGAGCACACTAAACAACAGGAAAGGGGTGGTGGGAAAAGCAAAGGATAGTTATTAGGATTTGGTAATATTTTTTCCATTGTTACTTCAATATTTAAATTATTTTCATTAGTCTTGAATAATTAATTCGTGTTATTGACTAAATATGGCAATATATATTGGATTATTGATTTCTGATAAAAAATGCATGTATTGTAAATAAAGGCAGGGGAATTTTTTGGTAATTAATGAGGATAATTAAAGTCCATTGACTTCGATGAAACAAAATAAATATATTCACTATTGTAAATTAACGTAATTGGTAAGATGTTTATAAATTCAATTTCCGAGAATTATCATAATAAATGGTGATTTGGCCGAGTTGGTCTAAGGCGCCGCACTCAAGTTGCGGTCTCGAAAGAGGCGTGAGTTCGAATCTCACAGTCACCACATTAATCGCATTATAACACAATTCAGTCGCGCATATTTTTATGAAAAAGGGAACGTTTTAATCGAAACTTGACTTTTCGTAATAAATAAATCATAGTTTTCAAACACTCTATTTTCCAAGTAAAATTTTATATTATCGTTATATTAAAACTCTCATAGCTCGTAGATAGCAAATTGCAACATATCGATATTATCAATTGGAAGTTTTCTATATCGATATGGGAGTAAATAAAAATGGCGAAACTGAAACTAACTATATCTATTTATTTATCCCATTATTGTTGCATAAATCAATAAGCTTTTTTTCCTATTCCAAACTAAATAAAGCTAAACGCAATTCCAAAAAAATCAGCAACAAACAAACAAAGCATGAAAAACATACAAAGAGCGAGGAAGGTAGTAAATATAGCGTGGCCAATGGTAGAATCGGCACAGAATTATTTATCTTGGTACCGGCACGATAGCGAAATTTTTGTTCGTTGATCATCAACGGTTTTCTTCTCATACACAGAAAACGTGTATGATTCTCACAGTATGATCATTAGTACCCCAGCCACGGCGAAAAAAAGTGTCGATCACGTGATTCCGATACCGACACCAACCATTCGAGTTTCGGTTAACAAACGTGAACATAATAAAATTTCGCACATTTTTTTGCGTTACACATTGATCTTGTGATTTGATTGGTGCATGATTTTAAAGGATGGTCGGCATCGGGATCGGATTCACGTGATCGACACTTTTTTCGTCGTGGCTAGGGTACTTTCATGAACATCAGTATCGTCATGCTTGCATACAAGTGCAGCGCGTAGAGGCTCAGTCTTCCATCGGGGACTCTAGCTCATTATCAGTTATTAATTACCGTTAGTAATATTTTCGTCCGTCAAATCAACAAATGATTTTTATAGTAACAATTTTCTCGCTCGCTTAAGATTAGCTACAATAACAAAAAAATAAAGCTGTAGTATAAACAGGCCGAGAATATTAATTAATTGTCTCATCAAAATCTATCAACATCAAAAAAATTATCATCAATATATATACTATATATAACACCTACATATTTCCAACCAATAACCACTAAGGAAAATTCAAAGACCGATAGACAGACATACCGATATACTACTTCACTACAATTTACTTCTCTCATACACCACATATTTTTTACCTTTCCGATTCCTTATCGCAAGGAACCAAAATATGCAAGAAGAACGGCCAAGTAAGCCTTTTGCTTCTCGTTCTTTGCCCGGTGAACACTCTTCACCAAATAATTTATCCTCTTCAATATCACTAACTGCGATTGTTGGTGCTGCTGTTGGTGGAGTTGCTGCTTTGGCGGCTACCTCTTCTGTTGCCTCTACTTTATCAGTACCATCACCAGCAACTCAGCAACAAAAAAATCATAACTCTCTCTCCTCCTCTTCTGTTAGTACATCACAAAACACTACACTACTAAATCCCCCTTCTACTGCACATCAACAACACGATCTCTCCAACCATAAATTCACTAGACGAACAAGACGTAGTCTCTCAACTTCGTCGAGTCAAAGTCTACTAAAGAAAAGTCTAGCACTGAAACCACGTACACAATTAAATTTATATCCACAAAACTTATATCCTTCACCTCATACTACTACTCCTACTCCTCCTCCTCTACCTCCTCCTACCTCTTCCACCACAGGTACAAATAACTCGACTAGTACATCCACTTCTTCGACCACAAATGACAGTGACACTAGTCAGCGTAGTTCTTTCGAAGATTGCGATGATTACTCTACACCAGGAACCCCTTTCTCTACTTCAAATTCTAACACAACATCAGCGAGTAGTTCACTAAACTCACCACATGTCTCTTCTCTGTCATCCAACCATTTTGCTTTCGCGCGTGACAGACATCATTCATTATTTGTGCTTTCCGCAAAAAACAATTTAATTAGTGGTATCAACAGCAATAATCAATCAGCAATATCACCAACGTCATTATCAAATCCTCATAACCCATCAATTCTCTCACCTTCCTCTTCAAGTATAACTCACAATAATACTGTTTCAGTTTCTGGAAGTGGCCCACAAAATATTCCCGGTCAACAAAATAAATCACAAAGTCAATTACATCCCATGCTTTTCCCTGCTTCTGCTCCTTCTTCCTCTCCACTGACGCACTCCAGTAAACCTCCGCTCACACAACTACAACGTAGTCCAAGTGGCGCAAATTCTCAACTAAAACGGTTATTCAATTTGAAATCAGAAAATTATGCTTCCAGTAATTCTTCCCCATATTCCGATTCAGAGACTGAATCACTCGAAACAGATTCTGATCCATATAACACTAACGATGAACTCTCGCGTTCTATAACATCATCCATGAAACGACGACCTTCATTCCCAAAATCTCCAACATATCGCTTCTTTCCAGATTTATCCGCAGAAGCTGAAGAAAATCTTGTCAGTCATTTGCATATAATCGATGAGCGTACTCCTGAATTCGCTTTCCCAAAGGTGAAACCAAAATTGTTAAAAGACTTGGAAGAGGCAAAAAATCGTGCTGATCATGAAATACGGATTATTCTGGAGAATTGGCACCAATCACATCAGTATCAAGAGCAAATAAGCGAATTGCTATATGATGTCTGGAGTGACGATGATGACAAGCCTGCACCTACTATAAAGCGTAATAATAGTCAACGAACATTAAGCAATATGGGAAATAACCCATTAGTTAGTGATACGGATGATGAAGGTGTCTCTAGGAGAAATAAAAGAACATTAACTATTGAATCTAATTCATCCGCATCCACATCCACATCCACAACCACTACACCGACATCAGCCTCTTTTGCTAATGTGAAGAGACCTCATAGTCTACTGATTGCAGAGACGGCTCATAGCAGTAGAAGTAATAGTATCAGTAGTCCTTATGATGAAGCTTTGCTTATATCTAATTTATTAAAAACGCCAACCGTTAGCGAGATTAACATTAATAATAGCAATGACACCAATATCACCACAACTGTTAATGCTATAAGACCAAAGAAAAGTATCGAAAGACGTATGGTCCATTCAAATAGTTGGCCTCCTACTGTATTAGGTAAATGAATAAATCAATTTTCAAGATCGCTCTATTGCAAAAGAGAGAATTAGCAACTAATAAAATTTAGTGATTAAAAAATGGGCATCAAATTTTTTCTTTCTTTTATACTTTTCTACAGCTTCATCACACACTATCCTTTTAACAAGGATCGACAGAATAGCACGTCGCATCGTGAAAACACAAATCCATGACCTTATCCACAGTAACATAGCAGTTGAAATCATGAAAGAGCTCCAAGAATTGATGGAATTACAACGAAAAATGGCTGTAGGAAATGCTGACGCAGAAGAGTTATTGACGAAGCTGGTGTATGTGTTTGCAGATGTGACAAGGGCTGTTGAGGCTTTGGTGAGTTTTGACTGTTGTATTTGATTAATTTCGGTGTCAATTAGATGAGTTTGTGTTATTTATTGGTCTTTTTTAATTAATGGCGCTTCTTCATAAATTAATAGAATCATCCCTTTGCCGAAACTAACACCGAATTATCAGGTGATGGAGCAAATGATGGAGGTGCAACTACAACTTCAGAATGGTCTTCTGTCCCATCACCTCTTCCCTCACCATCTTTACCCCTAACGCCAATCACGCCTCCGTTTTATCCACCACCGACCCAAATACGTCGCAAATCGTCAGCTTCGGAAATTGTGGAAACTCTAAATGCTCCCACCGGAACTTCTACCACGGCAAACAGTGGTCAAAAATACATGTCGTTACTCCCTCCCGCTCCAACGTATTCATCACCTCTCGCTCGTCATATGTCGATCCCATCTCCAATAATAAATAGCGTATCTTTTAACAGTTTAAAATTTGATCAAAGACGCGCTTCCGCAAACGAGGCTATTTTTGAGAGCCCTATAATGTATGTTCCGCCTCCACGGCCTAGTATGGATGATAATATGATGACGTGGAACAGCTTAATGCGAAAAGAGGTTGAACAGTATTTGCATGAAGAGATGAATCGTGAAATTGATTTTGACATCTTGCGTAAACAACATAATGGAGAAGCAGAACCGAAAAAGTCGAAGAAAAAGGTAAGTTTGAATTTATATAAAATCACTTATTTTTAATTATTTTTTATTAACCTAAATAAATATTTTCACGTGGAAACTTTTAGGGGCGACCAGTAATGAATTTCTTCAAATCATTGAAAAATGCATTTCACAGTCCAACTTCATCTTCAAGCACATCACCTACTGGTTCACCAACCAGACAAGCCATCAATTCTGGCAATAATTTAGTCCGAAATAATCATCTAACACGTCCAGCTGAAAAAACTCGCTCCTTGTCGGTTGATGCGAGTGCTTTCTCGCTTTCTCGCCGCTCTTCAGCTCTCTCACTAAAAGAAAAAGGAGGAATCCCTGCTAGTGTTGGAGCATTGGACACACGGTATCTTAATAATCCCCTACAAAATCACACAGCCACAAATTCACTTTCACTCAATACAGCATCTTCGAGTGTCGCGACTCCTGGTATGTTTATGCCGCATGATTATTTTTTGTGCAGAATTTGTGAAGAAATGATCCCAAGTCATGAATTGGATGTGCATTCGGAGACTTGTGCGATTACGACTGAATATGCAATTCGGCTACAGAATTGCGACGGTCGATTAAAGAAGTTGGTCGGTGATGTGGCCAAGAGAAAAGCAGAGATTATGGTAGGGGTTCGTATTGCTTTCTTTTTTAAGATGAGGGAGGGGAGTTAAGAATAACGCATTAAACGCATATAATTTGTAAAATTTGTTTTTATTTAGGATCGAAATACTCCGTATCGTGACTACTATAATGTAAATGATGCACAAACTATGGAACACATCGGCATAAAGTTTGTATTATTTTCCATGTACTTCGTTACCTATTACCTAAATTCTTACTAATTCCTTACATATATACCTACAACTGTATAATAGAGCTGCCAACATCAAGGAAACCTCGAATCGTCGTGATGCGTTACGTAAATGCGAGAAATATGCCAATAAATTAGCGCGTTTGGTTGAAGAGATGGAAAAGAATACGGCGAGAGATGATCATATTTTAACTTACGGAAAACGATTGTTGCATGTTGTATGTATTGCTACAGTGCAAAAATTAACTCGTTTTCTAAAAGAAAAATGCTAATTTTATCTGTTTACCTTTATCTCCTTCCCGAAAGGTGCAAGAGAAAAGCGAAACTCTTCGATCATATTTTGAAAAACTCCGTTCAAAAAACGCAGTTTCAGGCGTAGCTGTATCCATCCCAGCTCCCGCGTCCTATCCTTTATCAACATCTTCAGGCGACAAAGACGTTTCTCTAAATCTTCGCCCTCCGTCAAAAGATAAAATTGCCAGAAAACAGTCGATGCAAACTAAAATTCTATCTACGTCAGCCTCACAATCTTCATCTAAAGGATATTTCGGTCAGGGAAGAAGGAGTTCGAATGCTGAAACTGTGAATAAGGATATATTGGGCGGATTAGGAAGTAATCTTGGACATCACAGGAGACAAGATAGTGCTGGGAGTATGAAGAGTTCTGCCGCATATGGTAATTTGACATTCAATCAATTTAAAGAAATTTTAGAAAGATTGATTATTAATATTTATTTTTTGATTTTAATTAGATTCTGATTACATACTACCAGCACCATCAAAGGGTGGTAAAACTTTGATGTCGCTATTTACTGCTGTTTTAAGAGGTGGAAATAGTAGAACAGCAAGTACGACTTCTTTGAATAATAAAGATGGTGGAAATGTACAATCATCTGCGACTGGCGATAAGATGGTGACCATTTATTTTTGTACTTTAACATAATCCTATCACTTGAATATCATTCTCAACTTCCACAATCATTTGTTTCAGGGCTCAAAAACTAAAATCCCAAGCATTCAAGATTTTGAAATCATTAAACCGATAAGTCGCGGTGCATTTGGTAAAGTTTACTTGGTGCGTAAGAAAACTACCGGTGATTTGTACGCCATTAAAATTTTGAAAAAAGTTGATATGGTTCGCAAGAATATGGTGAATCATGTATTAGCAGAAAGGAGGGTTCTAAGTTTATCGAGGACGCCTTATGTTGTCAAGCTGTATTACGCATTTCAGAGCCAAGATTATTTATATCTGGTAATTTCTTTATATTAATTATGCGACGAATAGGCAATTTGCGTATTTTTGAATAAGTGTGGATAATATATACATTATCATGTTTTTTCTCTTTTAGGTTATGGAATATCTTATTGGAGGTGATCTTTCGTCCTTATTACAAGTATTTGGCACATTCGATGAAGAGATGGCACGAATGTATACAGCTGAAGTAGTGCTAGCGTTGGAATATCTTCACTCTAACGGGATAACACATCGAGACTTGAAACCGGATAATATGTTAATAACTTCAGAAGGTCATATAAAATTGACAGATTTTGGATTATCGCGAATCAACATCCCCGAAAAGCCTTTTGTGAAAGAGGAGAGCGGCAACTCGAATACCACCAATAAGAAACCCTTCCCCATAAATTTCCGAGGCGGAAGTGTTGATGCACGAACATCAGCCAATCCGCGTCCTATTTCTGCGGTGTTTACTGACGATAATAATAAATACGGAAAAAACAAGGCTGTGAACTTTCTTCCAAACGAATCTGGGAAAAAAGATCAAAGTAAACCTAATAGCAATGATAATAACAGTATTCTCACATCTTCGTCGTCAAATAGCTCGTCAAAAATTATTAGTAAACGACAAAATCGACAAAGTTCGAAAGCATTATTGGGAACACCGGATTACTTAGCACCAGAACTATTACTTGGTATAGGACACACAACAGCGGTAGATTGGTGGTCATTGGGAGTGTGCTTGTTCGAGTTTTTGTGTGGTTATCCACCGTTCATGGAAGAGTCTCCCGAAGCCATTTTCAAAAACATTTTGCAACATGCAATTCAGTGGCCAGAGGAAGGCACATTATCAGATAATGCTCGAGACTTGATATCGAAACTTCTGACTCGTGAACCGGAGAAACGTTTAACGGGCTCCGAATTAAAAGCACATCCGTTCTTTGATGGAATTAATTGGGAAAATATTCGAAATCAACGTGCTCCATTTGTTCCATCGCCTAATGATGAGCAAGACACTAGTTATTTTGATGCGAGAAATCAACGTCCGGATATAAGACGTTTATCGGCTGGGAATATCGATGATATTGCTAGTGGGATGATGATGAAACCTGGTGATCGAAGATCCGGAGTATTTGATGATAGTAATTCGTCGGGCAATAATAATAACAATAATAGCAGCAACAATAGTAATAATAATAATAGTGGCTCAATATCAAATAATGGTAGTACTAATAGTGGGCCAGTGTCAGGAAATAAACCGACAACAATCATTGCTACTTCAGTGACTACCGAACCATTAGATTTACAATTCGCCACATCAACAGCTTCCCAGTCCCGTGCTAAACCCGATTTAACGATAGATACTCATCTTCGACAGAAACGCTCATTCTCAAAGAAAAAATCCAAGAAAAATCTATCCACTGATGATGTTACACAAACACAGCAATTTGCTCAATCACAACTCACTCCTGGAAGTTCAGGAACATCATCTACCTCGTCACTAGGTGTCAAATCCTCGGCACAAAAGCGGCGTCCATCACTACTGAAACTTACTTCCGCCCGGTCTCGTAAACAATCGATTAGCGGAGCCCCCGAGCTCTCGGCCACCTCATCTACATCAGTAACACCGACAACCGCGACTGCAGTTCCATCTTCGGCTTCGTCACTTTCTTCGCCCTCATTTAATTCATCGCGAAGATCAACACTTGCAGGAGGCACATCTCCTGTATCGCATAGTAATAATTCAGAACACGGAATTATTGATGATGAGACGGAACGTTTGAAAACGTACTTATCGACAAACCAAGCAAGCTCGCAACATCAGTCAGATAACGAGTTCGATGCGTTTCTTTACAAGGGTGTGAGTTTTTTGGGTGAAGCCAATAGAGATGTAGTTGTCAGCGCTGCTTCTTTAAACATTAATAATAACAATAATAGTAATAATGGTAGTTTAGGAGGTGGGATCGAAGAAGAGTAAAGAAAACGAGTAACTAAGCAATCGCGTCGGTAAATGATTAAATCAATTTTATTTGTTTGGAATTGGTAAAGATTGAAAAGTTGGACACTTTCGGATTTATAAAGCAAAATGTATATAGTTTTCCCTGTAAAAGTTTTATAGTATAGTATTTGATGGATTTGGGTTTCTTTGTATGATCCAGCTTGTATTGTAACGTACGATTTCAAGGACAATTAGAATAATGCCTTTTGAGGTTAAAAATTTTCTCTTTAAAAAACAAATTAACACTTGCACACAAAAACTCGGTCGAGAAATTACTTTTTTTGGGACAATTTTTTGGTAATAAAAAAAATGAACCGCCATCTCTTGGTAAAGAAAAATTGCAGATCATGTGATTCCGAGCCCGATACCGACCATCCGATCTACCCTTAAATTATAATGCATAATATTAAATAGAATTTCGGTTAGGGTAGGGTTAGGTTTAGAGTTAAGGTTATTGTAGTAGGCGGGAATATGTTATATAGTAAAATTTCGCAAGGAACATTTTTTATTAAAGCACAAAAGATAGTTTCATAGGCAAAATTTAAGATACAAGCTATTGTTCAAAAATAAGCATTTGTTTTGAATTTTTGCATTGCACATTGATCTTGCGATTTGATTGGTACATAATTTTAAGGGGTAGATCGAATGGTCAGCATCAGGATCGGAATCACATGATCTGCAATTTTTCTTGAGATTACATTATGTGACTCACCAATCTGATGATAAAATTTTGAGATGATGTATTTCGAACACGAAAAAATGCGTTTATGGTCAAATAAAAGAGGAACATCTCGCAATCTATATCTACTCGCAAATAATAGAAAAAAATATTCCGATTGCTATAAAAAAAATGTAATAGACACGACGTTTCTCTTATGTCGAAAATGTAGCTTTAATATTATTAATTCTCAAGTTTTGGGGAAAAGATACATTACCAGCAGTAGCAGCAGCATTAATGTTAACCCCGTTGGAAGTTTACAGCCAAATGATAATAATTCATTTAAAAGTATTCCAAAACCAAAGGAAGAACAACGTCAAACTATAGTTTCACCCATGAACTCGATTCTTGATGAAAAAGAATCGGAAAAAACTATCCAAAGCAAATTCCATAGCGTGGCTGCACAAGTAAGGTTCGTTTTTTACTTATATCATTATTTTCTTCTTCCTTTAAAATAAAGGCATTGAATTCAATTATTTTTTAAGGCATTTAATTTCTTAGAGTCAGAATTGAATACATTCTTCTTCATAATGAATAACGAAAGAGATAAAGAAGTCAATAATTACAAATTAATGTCAAAACTACTATTTGATAAATTTCACGACAATTACTATATGCATGATTTTTACGCTGCCTTCATTTCGAGACTGTTAATTCGATGCGTGAACGCTGGTCATAAAGATATTATGTACCTGATTTTTGCGCGATTCATTCAACGTACTATTTACAATGATGATGGCCAACCACAAAAAAATCGACTATATCCCTCTGCTCATGTGATTAAAGTTTGGAATACTGCTCTATTTCTTTTTGGGCGTGATAAAATGTTCAGTGAACTAAGAAACGGTAAGATAATTGTTAATTAATTTATTAATCCACTAATATTAATTAATGGATAATTAGACTTTAGTCATTATTTCTAGTGATTGATACAATGGAGTTATATAAAATAAAACCTGATACGAAAACATCGGAAATATTGTTGACAACATATGCTAAATCCGGAAAACCTGATCTCGCTTTCTTTTACCTTCAAGAAATATTAATGAAACAAAAAAAACCGACTGTCGCTATTGTGAATGTATTATTAGAATCAATTTTGAGCGACTCGAAATCTTCACGTAACTCGAAAGATAAAATCGATATTATCAAAAGTTTAATGCGGGAATCAGGGCTGAGACCAAATGGGCGTACATTGGAATTATTTTTACGGCATACAAGATCATTTATGGAAATTGAGGATGTTTGGCAGATGGTGATTAATTATAAATTGCAACGTAATCAAAGCGTTCATTTGGAATTGGTCAAGGCTTGTTTGCGATTAATTGACGTGAAAGTAAAACTTAAAAATTATCAGTCAAAACGAATTGAAGAGATGTTTGCATGGTGTCTGGATTACTTCTTGAGATTTGAAAGATATTTGTTGCCCGATGATAAAAAGTCTATTTATATTTATAATTCACTTTTTGAAGGATGCGCAAAATATAATCTCGTCGATAGGGGAATACGATTATTCGAAAATATGGTGTGCAATAATTTCGAACCAAAGAAAAATGGATATACATTTTTTCTAAATGCATTGGGAAAAGGACATAATCCCGCTGAAAGTTTCTTTACATTATCATTTTCGACACCTATTACTAATAAAAAAAGTACAAATCAAGAAATACGGCATTACAGTTATTCGGAACGCAAAATCGTTTGGCAACTTTTGAATAAATTGAGTGAAGAAGAATCGATTGTACAAAACGTTTCAAAAAATCTATTCAAAGCTATAATATTAGCATTGGGACGAGTTGGTGATAAGTCTACGACTATGGAGTTATTTGATTTTTGCATGGCAAAAGATTATCAACATCAGCTTCGTTATAATCTTGATCAAACCAATGAAAGGTTAGGTGGTATCACGAAGAAGGCACGAAATATTCAAATGGATGTGTCATTATCAAATACATTTATGCAAGCGATCTCTTCACCGACATACGGAAATAATGACCATTCTGATCCATATTTCACATTATCTCTTTTTCGACGGCTACCTCACCATTTGATACATCCCAAAACCACTTTCGAATTATTGTTCTCGAGCATAAATAGCAAAACACATTTATCCGAATTTTTGAGTCCATTTATTGCTGCGATTTTACACTATTCCAACAATAGCAATGATAATAATAATCTCTCATCAACTTTATTTTTTGATGATATCATAGAATCTTCAATTTGGCGGATAATAGGTGGAAAAAAGTACAAACTTTTAAAAAATAAAAATAGTAATAATAATTATCCCTTACCATTATTAGATCCAACAACTGAAGCATCAACAAGTAACTATCAACTAGCAAAACGCGAGATTATTCTGGATGCAATTGTAAAAGGTATTGTTAAAGAAGTTAGGAATATACAACATAATATAGATATTTCTGAATGTATCGATTTAATTGATGATTGGGTATTAAAACAAGAAATATAATAGGACTCGGATCTTACTAATCATGTGATTTTAGATAACTTGCCATAACCAGTTGTTTGGCTATTCACAGAGTTTAAAGATCTTTACTATATATTATCCTTCTGATAATATCAGGAATCTAAAAAAAATTTATTTGCAAATAATAAAGTGAAATTGTTTAATTAATAATAATTATATATAGTGGAAAACAATATGACATTCACTTTTAGATGACATCAAGTGTTATAACTTGAAAAAGAAAAAAATAATTTAACAAAATGATAGCTTTTTGACTAAGCTATGATTTTTTGGCGTTTACTAATATTATAAGAATAGAGTTCTGATTGATCAGATTACTTATTATGTATAAGATTCACAATTCACTTATTAATTAGTTTTCTTGATTCTTGCTAGCATCCATTATCTTTTCTGTTTTGAACTTTATCATAATCAATTTCAATAATGAAATTAGTTCTATATTTTGTTAAGAAACATGGATGGATTTTTCTTTTTAAAATGGCCAATTTTTATAATTATTTTATTCTTAATAAATTAAATAGAATTATTATTAATCCTTCAAAATATAAATTCTATCTCACTATCATGATACGAGAATACCAAATATATCTATCAATCTTCAAATTCCCATTCATAATTGCTAATAAGATTCTCATAAAACCTCAAACCTTCCACCGTCTCATCCCTACATATCAATCCTTTTGCCTCGGTCATCTAATAAAAAAAAAAACAGAATTAATATCAAAATTAAAGATTCAAAATCTTTACATTTTTAGAAACTTGCCAGCAATTGTTCGGTCACCAAAAACACGCTAGTCTTTTGTCGTTCGGCCAAATCAATCGCGGTCTTTGGTCCATTTTTTTGAATTTCCTCTAATATACGCTGTGCCGTTTTTTCATCGCTATGGGTCAGTGATTACGAAGATGTAAGTCTTTTATTGCGAATAGAAAATCTTCAGACGTGGTAATTAAATCGATAGATTGAATAGTAAATTTAAAGGATATCAGACTGTACTACGTTTAGACCACTTGGGAATTTACGTAATCGCATCGGCATATTTAACTGTTCAAAGAGAGAACATGCCTTATACATATCTTCAGGCGATATAAGTGCTTATTTTTTCATCACATAAATTATCATTTTACTTTGTTAGCAAAGAAAAAATCTAGTTAACAGAATTGTCCAATTAAAAAAAAAATAGTAACATACCGACTCCCCTGGCACGATTAAAAATGCAATAAATATCCGTCAAGGCCATCATGCCATTCTCCCTTTCTAATATACCTTCTAGAAATTCCGCCAATTGAAGCGATAATTCCTGATGATAAACCGACCCCGCATCTCTATGTTAAAAATCACTGATAATTCAGCATAAACTCGCTTTTTCGCCAGTGAAAAAAATATAATAAAACACGCCTCTTCGTCACCGGACTTGATATTCCCAACTCCAATAAATAAGTATTCAAAGATGATGCTTCATCAGCTGATGCTTCCGAATCATTCGATTCTTTGATTAATTTCAACTTCATCGATTCAGCAAGTTTGACCTGAAAGACACCGCATAAATATTTGAAATCAGAAAAACAAAATTTGACGATTTAAATCATTAACACAAACCATTTCTTTAGCTTTTGCCATCAACCCGTCTAGATCTTTGAAAGCCAATGTTAACGTTTCCTCCTGTTCTTTTTGACCTTCTTCTACATTACGTGCAATCCCCTCTGTTCAAAAAGAAAATTGTATAAGAAAAATGAACCAATAGGAATTATCAACTAAGTATAGAAATTCGTTGCATACTTATGCCACCGCGTCCAGGATCAAAATCTGGTGTTGATCTCGGAGGAATAGGTTCAAGTGATTTCTGAAAGAGACAATAATCTTTAAAAATAGACAAATAAAGAATCAAACACGCAAAAATCAACTCACCTCCCATTCCTTTCCTGACATGGCAACTTTCAGCTTCTCATGAAAAGTACCGATCCCTCCATTGCGAAACGCCAACTTCACAAAATCAGGCAAAGCATTCCCTGATCTCCCGGCAGTCGATCCCAAAACTGCCTCGTCGACAGTAATGCTTAGCCCATCAATATTGAAAGTTCCCAATTCCGATTCGCACACTTCGCATCTTATCATGCTCGGATGATTCAAGAATGTGCACACAGGGCATGCAATTCCTTCCGCAGGAGTCTTTGCCGACGGTGAATCGGTATCTGAAGTTTGCGATAAATGTTCTTCTTGTTGCAGGGATGATCCACCAACAACATTACTTCCAATTATACTTTCTTTTGAATTTTGAGAGGTTAAAGGAGAAACCGATGGAGCCGACAAAAGATCCTCCGGACGTTTAACCCCACATAATTGACATTTGAGATTTGTACTCGTCAAATTTTTCGAATAGGAACAAATCGGACAAATCCAAGTTGTAGGGGTGATAGAAGTGGTTAAAGGTAGGGAGGTCGTTGATGATGAGGGAGATATTGGTGTATGAGATCGAGGGGAAGAAGAGAGTGCGTAAAGATTTTCAGTAAATCGAAGAATTAATTTGGGTGATGATTTTAAGAAACCGGTCTATTTCATAGTGGAAACAAACTAATTTAATAGCGCGTAAAAAAACATACAAAAAAATTATAATTATTCCGAAGAAACTCACAAAATATTCGCGCGCCTTAACCAGCGACAAGTCTAATGCCAGGGAATGTGTTTGAGGGTGCTCAGAATCGATATATATAACTCTATGTGTTGTTAGATACGCTTTACCATTCGAGTATTCAGGTACTTTTTCATTTCTATCGAATATGAAGGCAGTCTAAATACTTTATTAAAGCTTCCCACTATTCCATTCATAAGTTCATTTAACATTAGCATTCACTATCAAGCAACAAACCCTTCGTAAAGTCCCACACTATCTTGAATTGCGAGTATAGTTTCGTTAGGAAGCAATGCAGGTCTTAGAGAACTAGTCAACTCAACTCGTGTAAATCGGTCCATTATTTATACAAAAATGATTTACCCAAGAATATATTTAATTTATACATTTTATCGGTTATCGTTGTCGTCTAGTAGATCTAGTAGGTAATGATATATATATAAGGTAATGATTGGTATATAGGGTCAAGAGTTTACATAAAGAACCAGCTATGGATAGATCTGTTTATTAGTGTAGAAGGAAACCTATGATATTGCTTTCTTGCCAGGCTCGACTTGATAGACTATTCCAGAACCTATCAAAATTATCATTTATTCAGTTAGTTGATCAAAGTCAAAAGTCGAAAATGTGTTTATGCGCCAAAAACTTACAGTCCAATCCATTAAACACAAAAAAGTTATTAATTGGTGGTCCCTTTTGAGACAGCACTTTAAGAATATCTTGCGCCAAGATACCACCGACGATTGCACAGACTGGTGATATCTCGGCTGATACATTCTGTAATAGTTGTCTAAAAAATATTAGATATTAAATATTAAATATTAAATATATAATCACAATAAACATTTGGGAGGTCGCTTCTTACTTTAAAAATACATTAGTGAAAAGTGATGGCTCGACGTTGATTGACTTTAAATACTCGTTACTTATAGATCTCAACTTCATAAAGTCTGAATTTTCATCATTTGAAGTATCGTCAGGATTAGGTGGACGACATTCATTTTGTTTAAATTTCCAAATTACTAAACATACAGATAAAAAACATAAGTTTATCAAATATAAAAATAATAACGATACGAAATCAAATATTACTTGGAATGGCCCACAACACTTCGGAAATTTTCTTTAGTTTCTTGAATTTAATTTGTGCCCAATCGTTTTTTGAAAGAGAAGTTTCTAAGCTCACGTACTGTGTTTCTCTTTTAATTCGTTTAACATCCGGCTCTTCCTTATCCGATTTATCTTCTTTTGTTTCTCTGGAATATATATATAATTCAACGAATATCATTAGAGCATATTGTAAAAAATTATATGACGATGGTTCTTTTACTCACATCACATATGCGTGATAGTTCAAATCACAAAAGATATATCCGAATAAGCCCATTGCGCTCGCTGCGTAAAATTTTTTGTCAAATTTTCGACATATTTCGTTGACATGTATCTTGAATTTTATGGGAATTCTTGAAATTTAATAAGATGTTATATAAAAAAGAACTCGAAACAATTTTACTTTCAGTGTCATAAAGAAACTCGAATATACTCTCACTCACCAAAGTATCCAGATCACAATCAGTTAGACAAATAACATCAAATTGATTGAAAAATTCTTCGGGTTTCTTCGCCAACTTATCAGAATCTGCGGTGACAACCACGCGAGGATTCAAATTACGAACACGATCTCTCGATGCAACTGCTCTCTGTAGAACCCCAAGAAATATTTCGTCCACAAACTTTTGATCATGTCGAAAATACTTTGAAAATTAAAGATACACAATGACTCACATTCTTTCCGATATCATCAGCTGACAAGAAGAATTGCGCACCCAAATCTTCTTGAGTTACTTTCTGATCGTCAAGAATTGTGAGAGATCCAATTCCCGCAAGGACAAGGTTTTTACAAACTTCGTTACTAAGACCTCGCATTCCAACCATCAATATTTTCGAGTTCAACATTCTTATCCCCACAAATCATAAATTGACACGTCAGTGATACCAATAATGTTAGAGAAAAAAAAATAAGAATTCCAAAAAAAAATAATTTGAAAAATATCTCAAATTACCGCTGTTGAGCTTCAAGTCCCCAAAGCCTTATCTGTCTGTCATAGATTGCGGCTTCGTCTAATGAAAAATGAAAAATATAATTCGTTTAAAAAAAATCAAGCAAATGGTTTAACAGAAAATGCTTTGTCAACAACAGAAAATATCAAAAGTAAAGACCTTCTGTAATGACGGCATTTTGCACCGAACTGTTTTCCGCGTTTACGTTGCTTGAAGACATTAATATTACAGGGTAAATTATATTGCTTTGAAAATGTTTTGTTCGTATTGACTATCAATAAACGCTTCGAATTATTAGATCAAAGAGGTAATATCGACATACTCTTTAGATCAAGAGAGAAAAAGTGTTGCTTGCAATTACAAATATACATTTCTAAAAAATTACAAAGTGTAGGTACAAGATCGACAATCAGAAAAATCATACTTTTGTTTGGTCCGGCAATTTTTTGTATATCGATGTATAACAGCATTAATGGCCTGGTATTTCAAGCAATAACGTCGTTTATGAGCACAAAGTCTTATTACGAGTCTCGAAAAAGAAGCTTTAACCTTGCACAAACTATGCAATTTCTTTGGACGAAAAATACTATCAAATCAAAATCCAAACATTGTAGATAACCTCCAAACCCAAACTTTAGAATTGAATTCGGAGAACATTAAATTATCTCAAAAATTACAATCTAAAGAGAGTTAATTATAACAGGTGCAAAAAAAAGATTGCAAACACATTCCCCTTTGAATGTTAGAATATCGATATCTATTATTTTTTATTTTTTCTAAGTATTGATGACCGGTTCCTGATTACAAGGTTTTATATAATTGCGTTGGATGTAACGGATTTTTTTGTTCCAAGAATGATAATAATAATCAAAATTAGATATTTATGTTCTAATACATTATAATATTTAATGAATTCTGATATCGCTCTCATACCCGAAGCGCCTGTTCCACGCTTGCTCTGAATTTTTCGACTTGTTCTGCACATTTTAGCGGTTGATTGATATTTTCTTCTTTACTTTTTATTTTGATTTAAAAAAATCAATATTGATATTTAAAATATTTATCATAACGCAAAGATCGATCATTTAAACTTACGTGTAGCATGTTATTAAGGATCTTTGAAGCTCTATTACAGTGATGGGAGTTTTTACTTCGTAGGATCTTCATTTTTTGTAATGGTTGATTTTTTTATGTCAAGCGATATGTCGTGCGAAATCATCAAACAAGATAAATAGAGGAAAGCTAAAAAAATTTTTACCGTCGAATCCTCTGCTCCAAATCATCAATTTCCTCATCAATTTTCTTAGAATGCAGTCCCGGATCGTGACCAGTATAATCATCATATTTAAATATGTTTGATAATTCAGCATCTACTTCGCGTTGAATGTCCGCATCGAATACTTCGCGACGTCGTAGTTCTGCCGCGACTCTTTCACGTATTATTTCTTCTAACTTGTCAGGTGAGATGCAAGTATTAGAGGTTGTTGATGATGGAGGTTGTGGGAACTGTTGGAAATTTTTTTGATTGATGAAAATAAATTAAATGACACGTAGATACAATAAAATAAAGGTAATCATTTTTTATCACTTACTCTTTGTTCTCGAAGTTGACTAACTAAATCGTGTGAAAACTAATCAATTAATTTAATTAAAATTTGATTTTTAGTTTTTATATGAATATTATTTCAAAATTAGTTAACTGTGTATTTTTCGTATTATAAGAATGGATTTAAATAAGATGCTTATAATAACATTTAGATTGATAAAATATCTAATATCAAAATTTCATATAGATACAAACCCGAAGTCGAACTTCAGGTTCATTGTAAATTACTATTGGTTCATTATTAGGTTTTGAGAAAGCGCCACCCATTTTGTTGTTTTTGCGTTTTAGCTGGAGGTTTTCAAGTAAAATTGCATTTTCTTGAAATAGAATTTTAGCCAATCATCTTTTGAAGATTTTAAAACGCGAAGAGGGAAAAATTTTATATGGTATATATTTCTAAATTCAACTTTTCGAATTGGACAGGATAGGACACTAAAATATAGGTAGATTCTATTCATTATGTTCTCGCGTCATCGTGACAAAATACTGTTAATTCTAGAATTGAAGAAGAGGTTTAAACTGAATTGCGCGCTCAAAAATTTTTACACTAACAGTAAGAGTAATTCATAAACTTCCAGTCAAAAATGAATTTTTTAGTTGGGATTTTTACAATAAAAAACGCGTCAATTGTCTGAATTTTTCATGGGCATTTTAGAAATAAGACGCGTCATCATATAATCATTTAAAATATTTCGTGCAAAAATTATTATTTGATTTGTAATGTTGATAGTGGGCAGAATGTGTTTGTTTTATTTATAGTTGATTTTTTCCTATTTTTTTTTCTTGCCTCCGCCTTTCTTTGTGGAAACACCGGATGCTGTTGCTCCGCCTCCAAACTTTCGACGAAATTCTTCTTCCTTTTTATCTTCAATTCGCTTAAACAAATACTCTGGCTTCCCAATTTGATGCCCTTCGTAAATATCCAGAGTCCATTCATCTGGAATATTTCTCGGCGGGGCATTCAGTTGTCTCAAGATAGAAGCACTAGTCGAGGGCATATAAGGAGAAAAAATAGCCGAAAGCAAATAAATTAAATTTAACGTGACGCCAATCACGGTACCACATTTTGCGGGATTTTTCTCAAAAAGTGTGTTGTCCAGTTTCGCATCTTGCAGATAATGGTTTCCGATTCGTGATATTTCCATGGCGATGTCGAGCCCTGCACGAAGTTTTACATTGTCAAGAGTTTGGATGTATAGTGCGAGTTGGGTGTTTACCGTTTCGAGTAATGTTTTCTCAGGAGTATCGTGCGTCGAGTACGTTGGTACTTGGCTGTTGTATTTTGCTACGGTGAATTTTATTACGCGATTTACAAAATTTCCCAGATTAGCGAGTAATTCGTTGTTATTTTTTGCAATGAATTCTTTCCATGTGAACATGGCGTCGTTGGTTTCTGGACGGCTGGAAATCAAGTAGTAACGCCAAGCGGCTACAGGAATTCCGGTATCTTTGGCATTATTACCAAATACCCCGATATTACGTGATTTCGAAAATTTATCATTTTCATAATTCAAATATTCTGTCAAAGACAATAGTTTAATTAATGAATAGTTAAAGATAAAATAGAAGTCATCAATAAAGCAAACATACCGGTTGTGCTGATATGATGAAGTAGCGTCCACTTTTCATTCGTACCAATTAATGAACTTGGAAAGATGACAGTATGAAAAGACACATTATCTTTTCCCATGAATTGATATAATTTCACGTCCTCGGGATTTTTCCACCATTGCTCCCAATTTTCCGTATAGTTTGCCGTTATCGAGAGATAACTAAAAGTTATCACTGAAAATTTATTATACAGGCTATACGAAAAATATATCCATTTTTCTTTTCCATATACGCGAAATCCACATACCCAATAGGAGCATCAAACCAGACATAGAAAACTTTATCTTTCATCTCTTCCAATGGAACAGGGGTGCCCCACTTCAAATCACGTGTGATACATCGCGGCTTCAACCCCTCTTTCAACCAAGACTGTGTAATACTGATCCCATTCGCCGTCCATTTCCCTTCCACGCTGGCTTTTTGTACCCACGTTTCGGTGGCTTCTTGTAAATTTGATAAATCTAGAAACATGTGCTTGGATTCTTTGGTGATTGGTGTGCTACCATCCAATTTACACCGCGGGTTTACTAACTCAATTGCGTTCAGTAGTTGACCGCAAGAATCACATTGATCTCCACGTGCATCCTATTTTTAATTTTTCATGATATGGTTGACCGTAAAATGGATTTTCGAAATATTATTATTGATTACATACTAGATAACCACATTTTGGGCAAGTTCCTTCAACGAAACGATCTGCAAGAAAACTATTTGACATCATAAAATAATATCTGAGTAAATAGTGATAATACTATTGAATATAACCAAATTCAATGACATACCGTTCATGTTGTTCACAATATAATTGAGTCATAGTATCCTCTACTAGATATCCATTTTTATGAAGCTTTAAAAAGATATCTTGAGCAATTCTAATAAAATAAATTACGATAAATGAAAGATAGAAATATTTTTTTACGAAAATTCAATTACTGTTTTTAAACTTACCGAGTTTGTTGACTAGTAGTAGTTCTACCAAAATAATCGAATCCGATGTCAAACCACTCATATACTTCAGTATGATGCACGTAATACTTGTCGCAGAGTTCTTGACAGGTGATTCCCTCTTCGATTGCCTTTGTCTCTGTAGCGGTCCCATACTCATCTGTGCCACATACAAAAAGCGTGTTGTATCGACGAGCACGAGAATATCTACATAGCATTCGAAATATTAGCATACTCGCGCCCGGAATCTTAATAATATCTCTGAGAGATCAAAAAATGCCTGATAGAGCGTTAATTACCTTGCAAATACATCAGCACTCAACACACTTCCAATAATGTTTCCTAAATGCGGGATATTATTAACATATGGGAGTGCACTGGTAATGAGAATGTTCCTCTCGCCTTTAACAGGTAGACTGAAATATGAAATAGGATAGAATCAAATTAATAATGACTTTTATTTAGTTTGAAGAATTACTATTGTAAATTACATTGTTTCGTTTCGTCTAGGTTCAAGGACTACGCTTTTGTTAACTTTAGGTGCAGCCAATTCTGCCATGTTTAAGCGAAAGGAACCGACGATTAATAATCTGGTTTGAGATCATATTATGACCCGAAAATTGAATATGATCTAAAATTAGTGGCTTATATAATTTCTATTTACGTATAATATCTTGCATCACACACTTTAGAATTTGAAAATGAGTCATTGTCGCGAAGAACACGCAACTCACGGTCATGGCTCTGGTAATGACCATCACCACCATGAACACGATCACGACCACGACCACGACCACGACCACGAAGGTCCCGACCGTGGAGCTGAAGGATCTTTATTCTCTCGAATTGATCGAGAAAATGTGCGTTGTTTGAACGAAAGTGTTCTTGAATCAGGAAAAAATGTAATTAAACCTTGGCACGAAAGAGAAGACACGACAAAAGTACGTGTAAAAAACTACAAGCATCTTGTTTATTTATTATTAATACTTTTTTACAGAAATTAATAAAAAAAATACATTATAAAAACAATTTCGTCTTCTTTTAATTTAGTATGTAGAAAGTGACGTCGATGAACAATTGATTTTCTTTATTCCGTAATTCGATTATTTCCTTGTTCCGTTAATTTCAATTTTTTTAATTCATTATGACAACCAACTTCTTAAATTTGATATAGATTCACCGGTAGCGTGAAGTTAAAGTCAATCTCGATTAAAGCTGGGCCTGGTGATAGTTGTCCATCAAAATTAAAAGTGTATGTTATTTTAATTTATTTAAATCTTCAGCTATTATTAAACATAAAAGTTTCCCTATTATATTCTGATTCACCTTTTGTGTTATCATCATTCTAGTTACATTAATCGAGATGACATGGATTTCGACGCGGCAGAAACCTACGAGTCCACACAAGAATGGGACTTGGTGCAGACTAATGAAATCGTCGAGTATACCACAAGGCAAATATGTTCTGTTGTTTCATCCTTGGGTTTTTTATAGACGATCTAGAAACGATATTTCATGATTACTTTTATATAGAATTTCGAAAATGTCTAATGTACAAAATTTGAATTTATACTTTTCTGAAAATTTTGGAGAAGAAATTACGCGAATTTATTATATTGGACTTAAAGGAGAATGGACGGAGGTATTTAATAGTAAATAATTTAATACAAGGATATAATTAATTATCATTTCCATTTTTGTATGTTCTAGATCAAAAAGGATCCAGTAATAACTTTATACGAAGCAGCTGCCAATCCGACAGATCATAAGAAGATTCACGGGGAAGAGCGATTGCATCATGCTTTTTGATTAAAATGACCGAGTCATTTATTTATTTTCAAATAAAACTGAAAATATTAGTTGCTATCTTTTGGTGGTTGTTATCCAATTATATCTTAATGTATTTTCTCAATCTACAAATCTTTGAACTTGTTGATCGATCATCAAGGCGGTTTTAAATCGCGTGATCTAATATCAATAAAATCCGATGCCCTAGCCATGGCGAAAAAATTCTCGGGTCACGTGGCAACCAATAAGAATGCGTAAAATTTTGATCAGCCCGGCACAAATCCGACACAAGAAAATGAAAAATGCAAAAAAACAGGAAACGGATGTCTAAATCTAGATTGGTACACTAATCAAAAATGTCGGGAAGGTGATTTTACAACTGACTCGCCCTAGCCCTAACCCTAACCTTTAAAGTAACCTTTAACAATAACACCTCTTACCGTAGAATTTTTCCGTACATACACAAATATCACGTGATTCGAGAACATGGTTAGGGTATCTAGATTAGGTCGTGTTACGCACGCATCAAATAGCCACCCCCTTTTCCCACCAAAAAATAATACAAAAAAAGAATAAAGGCAAGTGTTTCCTACTAAAAAAAATCTAAACTGCATATTTTTTTTAGAGACAGAGAAAGGCGTCCTCACTCTACAACTGTTGAATTTTACGAGGATACGATCGGAAAAAAATAACTAGCCGTTTTTTCTTTTGAAAGGAATAAGATTTTGTGTTTGTGTGTATCTTCAAAAACCTAAATTTATATTTAATAAAGAGTTCAAATAATAAAGACAATACAAAAAGGTTAATTGCCAATTGTTTTGTCCGTCATTGCTGTGAAAACCTTAATAGCTATAAAATAGCGATAATAAATTAACAGGATCGCAAAGTAACACAAAGTCAAAAAGCGCACGATCAGTAGTATTTACACTATCTGTATTTGTGTGTGTATATATATATTTGTTAGCTCGTTTCCAAGGGGACAAGTAAAAGAAAAGAGTAGAACCTAAACTCACACTAAGATGGAAACCAGCGAACTTAGCAACTACATAAACATAGGAGAAATGGGAGAAGGTGATGAAGTAGAACTTCAAGAGCATCAACACCAACAACAAGAAGGAACAGAAGAAACGCAAGCGTTACCGATGTCTTATATAAACCAAAATATGGCAATAGATAATGATGGAAGCTCTATTGTTGCGCAAAACACTCAAAATAATGATGATGATAACAGCAACAACAACAACAACAATAACAATAATAACACTGGTAATAACTTATTAGGTGGTGTTGGTGTTGTTGATATACAGCAAGTGAACGATGGCGATGGAAATGTTGTCGATGAAAGCAATTATGTAGGATTGAATTTTTTCGGTGATGCTTTTTCTGACGCTAGTACTTTGGCGACGAGTTTTCATCATAATATGGGGCAAGTTGAAGATGATTGGGCAAATTCGGCTTTTGATTCTTCAGGAGGTCAGGTTTCAAAGGAACCGACAAAGTCCGTTTTGATTAATCCGGAAATAGCAAACTCACAGTTTCTTATAGATCCTCTCTTGACCGCTGAAAATGGTGTTGCTCCCTTACAATCACAGTTATCGATATCAGGATCCAATAGTAACAATACAATGGTTAATTCTGCACAACAGCAGCTGATGCAGCGCAATAGCGATGGTATTAATGATAACACGAGTAATAGTTCACCACAACCACAAGATTCCCACCAGCAGCAGCAACAACAGCTGCAACTAAATAGTAAATCAGGGCATCAATACGGGACACGATTTGCAAATAAACGCACCACATTCTTTTCTCCGCATACGCAACAACCATTATACCAACATCAACTCAATGACGAAGTGTCAAGTCAATTGAAAATAGATGCAACGAGTCCAAAGCGAAAGACTGCACAGAAAAAAGATGAGAAAGTTTATTGTATTTGTCGGAAACCTGACGATCATCGTGTAATGATTCAATGTGATTCATGTAAAGAATGGTAAGCTTGTCATTCTTAATATCTCACAAAAAAATATCTCGAATAAAAAAGGATTAACTTTTTCCCGTACATAGGTTCCACATTGCCTGCGTGAATCTCTCGAAAGCTGAAGCCGAAGTGATCGAAAAATACTTTTGTCCGACCTGCGATGAGATTCGAAATGGCGGTGGTGTAGGTATTGGTGGTCGTCAATCGAAAAGTGAGTTATTTAAAAGAATTAATTTATTGTTATTTAGGTGGTCTTGTTTGTCTATTCCTCCCTTGGATCAATATTATCACTATTATCATTATCATTATTATTATTATTATTATTATTATCATCATTATTATTATTTTTTATCATCATTATTAATATTATTACCAAAGACATCGTTAGTTCAATTACAATTAAAATATCATCGGTTATCATTATTTCTCTTCTTTCTTTTTACTTCTCTTTTATCATCTTTTTTTTTATGCGTGATTTTTGTATATGCTGCATTCTTGGTCCTCTCTTGGATAAAAAATCAATTTATTTTTTTCGACCAAGATATCACACAAAACAAAAAAAGTCATATCAAATACACAAGGAAAAGGAAAAAATCCGGGAATTTTTTTTGTTCTGTCCTCTCTTTTTATTTTCCTTTCTCTCAATATATCATTCTCTGGATGACGGATAGTCAACGAGAAATATTTTAACAAAAAGTATTGCTGTGCATGGTGGGGTGATGATGATGGTGATGGTGATGAATCAAAAAAACAGACAGACAAAGAAAGAAAAGGAAATCAAGTCATCGTGTGTATTGAGTGTCATCATCGACGATCGAGCGATCGAAATATTCGTTTTTTGAGTAATTGAGAGAATTATATAAAACATATATATTCAAAATTTCTGACATGATTATCCTTTGGGGAATACACAAACACGATTCGTACAGCAATAACGCAACACTTAACTCGCAAGAGTCCAGTCCGTGCAATAATAAATCTCGATGAGTAGCTAAATCAAATCCCGCCCGTAATTTCTCCCGATAACACGAAACACTCGTCGGGTTTTCCAGTAATAGTATACACCGGCAAAATGTCCGGATATAAGTCAATCCGGCTTTTTCTTTCGAGGGAGGGTGAGAGGGAGCGGACTCTACCTTAATAACATAGCATTGATCGTAGTAATAAAAATGCTTACGAAATACATATACACATCACGCATTCAAAAAAATGATGAAAACTCTTTTATTTTTTATCTTTACGTATTCCTTTTCTTTACCCTTCGCTTCTCACGATCCTTATTAATTTTAATGATTAGAGAAAAAAAATACAAATGACTAATTAATATTTTTTTTATCTCGCTCTTATATAATATAGATTTAGAACTCCAAATTTCACCATACGAAAATTCTGATACAGCTGCCGACGATGCTCAGATGCCATTAGTGGTAGTAGGGAAAAAAGCAAAAAGTATCGACCCGAAAGCATTGATTATGTACGACGAGAAGGAGAAGGTGATGACTGTAAGTACTAATCTTAGTTGAAAAAGATCCGATCATATAATGCACTATTTTCTTAGAGTCGATTATTTCATCGAAACACTAATACCCTCGTGATTTATCATATGCACAGAAATCAAAGAAAGCAATGAAACAGTGTTTGTTCCCAGACTGCCATAACACTGCACGAGAAATAGACGGATACTGTAGCGATGAATGTGCCGTTAAAGATGCCGATAATGTGCTTTTACGATTAGCTACTAGTGGTAATATTAAAAATAACAATCATTATAATCGTAATCTTGATGCTATTATTCCTAACCTTCGTAAGAAAAATAAAATAATAACACCTTTGAGAATATTACTACTACTACAAATACTAATAAGAACAATAATTGTAGTGGTGGATGTAATAGTGCTTATTATAGTCTTAATGACAATCTTCATAAAAAGAATAATAGTAGTAGTAATAGTGCTTTTGTTTGCTCGCTTGATATTAATGTTCACAAAGATAATAATAACAAATTCATCATTCTTTTGGATCTGTACCGTTGACCTTTATTTTTTCTTCTGTTATATCATTATCAGATTCTAAAAGTGCTACATCTGCGTCGTTGTCTTCAACAATGACCGCGACAACAACATCGTCATCCGCTCCAACAGCAAGTCCTAGTAATTCAAGTATAGAAAAGACGCGATTGGTCTTGAAATCACCTACACCAATTAGACCTTCATCCGCAAGACCATCAATATCATTAAAAATATCAGGCCAAGATACTACTGGTGGTGGTGCCACCTATTCCGCTCATAGTACTCCTACTACTTCACCTACCACTCCCGTAACAAAGAGACTTTCATGGAATAGTCCTACAAAATCAGCCAAAATTCCACGAACCTCCTCAAATACCAATGATCGTATTCGACAGACATCGGTCAAAAACTTTTCCGAAATATTTACGCAAATATTCAATGATCTTTATGAGAAAGGTGAACTGCCGCGTGAAGAGAAAAACGATGATGATATTAGAAAGGAACAAGAACCACCAGAAGTTCAAGCCGAAAAACTAGCAACGCGAATTGAAAAAGCAATGTTTGATCAATTTGCCACAAAGGTCAAAGGAGTCCCTGCACATTGTGAACAACCATATAAATCAAAACTCCGTAGTCTTTTGACGAATCTCAAAGACAAGAAAAATGATTTATTACGAATGCGTATAATTAACGGTGAAATACCACCAGAGAAATTGGTGTTGATGTCATCAGAAGATTTGGCAAATCCGGAATTGAAGTCATTGGCAGAACAAGTTCGTCGCGAAAGTATTCACAAATCGGTATTGTTGGCATCGGCTGACGAACCAAGAATCAAGAAAACTCATAAAGGGGATATTATGATTATCAGCAGATCTTCATCCCCAAGTATTGAGCAACGTAACGAGGAAGATAACGTAGGGGGGACATCAACAAGAGGTAAAGGTCATGATGTCACCAGAAGTATAATTTCTCCAACTACAGCATCTTCTCTTTCGGGATCTTCAAGTGCGATTACCACCTCGTCTACTTCTATTAGTGCTATTTCCTCTGCTTCTGCTTCAAAACCAGATTCAAGTTTGGATGATTTACTTGCCAGAATTAGTAACAATACTCGAAGAACAAGTGCCGAATTATTGTCACATCAGAATGAAAAACAACCAGATGATAGTAAAAACTCCGCTGACTCTTCATCAGTGAATGTTGTAATGGATTTTGATACTTTTAACGCACAATCGGCGGCAAATAAGAAAAGCAGTTACGATGCCTGGGACCCTTCATCAAATGACGATGTTCTAATGGGCAATAATACTAATAATGAGGATGACGGAGATAATGATGAGACGATGGTCGATAATTTTGCATTAACGAATAGTCCAACTGCATTATCACCAATTTCAAGAAATGGAGTATCGACACCCATGGATTTGTCATCACCAATTCCATCAGATACACCCCCGTATGTACCATCACCCACCTTATTGCCAGCATCATTATCAAAGCCCACGATCGTAAATTCCGCCCCCACTACAACATCCATTTCTACCAATGTTGTCCAGGAAAAGAAGCTATCCAAGAACCCGGTGTGGAATGGAAAAATTATATATCAAGGAGTTGCTAAATTTTCCGCAAAAGCAATTCAAATAGCCGCACGGACATTAGAACCACGATTCTGGGAAGATCTTCTTGCGCCACAGATTACTATTGAAGGACGTATTCGGATTGAGGAAGCTAGTAAATATTTGTCGCAACAAGGATGCTCGAATACTAAAGATGTCGCCATAATTCAAATTTCATCATCAGATGAAGATGCTAATAGTTCTAATGAAAATAAAGATAATAATATGATGGATGGAGAGAATAAAAATAATGATAACAATAATGTTGTTAAAGACGAGAAACTACAGTTAGAACGGAAACAAGAGAACAAGGAACAATTTGATATTCTCTTTGAATATTTTCACTCGCGAAAACGTTATGGAGTCGTAGGACAACGATATGCTGCCGTTAAAGACATGTATCTTGTACCGTTGACACCTGCAGACGAAATCCCGGAATTCGTTCAAATTCTAGACTACGATGAAGTACCGGAAAAAAGAGACACAAATATTTTGTTGGGTGTAATTGTAATCATTAAAAGTCCCTCTTCTAAACGTAAACATCCAAATGCTAATAGTAGTAGTATTAACAATACTGCCGCTATTACTGTTAATACTTCTACGTCACATCCTTCTGCTAGTCCTTCGAGAAAAGAAAAATTGATGGATGTTTCAAATCCTATTAATAATAACATTAATAATAACAGTAATGCTATTATTGCTGCTTCGTCTAGTACTGCGTCAGAAAATTTATCATCATCTACTGCTTCTATTACCACTGTTAATAACAACAATAATATACCTATTGGAACAAATACTTCGAATACTGCTGCTGCTGCTTCACCATCATCTAGTAATTTCTTGCAACCTTCAGCAGCAGCCGGAATACCAAAAGATCTATTACAATCATTATTTGCTCATGCAGGCATTCCTGCAAATAACATGGGAAATTCCGGTGTTCCGCCTTCTCCACACACTGCCGCACATCTTCACCAGCATATACCTCAGCATCCTCAGCATCAATACTATCAATTACCACCTTCTGCTATTCCACCCCAATCTATTTCTCAATCTACTCCACCACAATCATCACAACAGCAACAGCCAACACAACCAATAATGTCTACTTTACCACAGAATTATCCTTCAAATTATCAAAATATAACTCCTCCATCACAAACTGGTCCTCCGCCATCCACAACACCGTCTTCGGCAACATCTTCAACACCAGCAACGGCATCAAGTTTATATCCTTCTGGTCAAGGAACACCGCCACCTCCATTTCATAATCCATATAATTATTATCCTCCTGTTCACCCATCGCAGCCACCTAATTCTAACGCGCCACCACAACATCATGGGTATATACCTCCTTTAAACAATACACCCGGAGAATTACAGCCCCCTCCATCACAAGTACCAGGATACCCCACACAACAGCCGCCTCCATATCCAATGCAACCACCTGCTCAACATGAAATTAGACCTCAATGGGATCAACCTCAGTCCTTAATACCGCCGCAACAGCAACAGCAACAACATTGGGAGCATCAACCCCCAATATCCGATAATACTGGTATAATTAGTGGTAATAGACAACCACTACCACCACAGCAATGGGAAATGGACAAAAGTCGTCCTTCACCACAATGGGGTGAAAATCGACGTGGTCATTCAAATAAATCTCCACCTCAAAATGATCATCATCATCGATCATACAAACCTTATAATAAATCATCTCCAAATCGACGTAATGCTGGCGGCAGTGGTAGTGGTTATCGTGGAAGACGTGGTGGTGGCGGTAGTAATGGTAATACTACCGCTAATGATAGTTCAAGAGCTGGATGGAAAGGAAATAATAATCGACCTAATAATAATGGCCAAGAATGGGATGGAACTAATAATAATGAAGAACGTTGGGATCGAAGAGAACAGCAACAATCAGGGACACAACAGCAGCAGCAACAGCAACCTCAAATACCACAACACGATGTTAGTGCAGAACTTCAAAACACTAATAATCCAAGTGAACAAAGGCTAAATCGAGGAGGTAGAAGACGATGGGATTAATTAGCAATATCAGTAGCATAGTGTTAGTATGAGTAATGAACACAATTCATTATTAGTAAAATTTTAAAATGTTATTATTCGAAAAAAAAAAACAGATAGGATTGATTTGATTTCTTTGTTGAATTAATAATAATTAGTTAGTTTTTATTCCGCTTCTTTTCTTTATGACATTTAAAACATTAAAAAAAATTTATTTCATTTTTTCGACGAGAATAATTATTATGAAATTTATATTATGGTAATATATCGCGAAAGCTAGATTTAAATGATGACATCTCCTATCAAAACTCATTTGCCTGGTGTCCGAAAAAATTAGGCAATTTAAATACTGATTGTGAAGACTGTGCTTAATCTTCGAGTTTTAGAAATTCTGAGCATGCCAATATTTTCAAATTTATTTTTTATATTAAAATTCTTGATTTCTACTTTCAGAAAATATAAAAACACAAGCTTATTATTGAAAAAAATAAAGTTAACTAATCATTATAAATATTGATAATAATAATAAATATGTTGTTTATTTTTTAAAAGTTAAGAAAATATAATTTGAAATAATAAATTAAATTATTACAACTGGCTCTTAACATAAGAAAGATGTTTGATTCCATAGTTAAAAATTCACAAAACTTTTTTATATCAAGAGTTTATTAGTAACTTTCTTATATTGGGTAAATTTATTATAAAGCAATTTTGAGTTTAACTTTCTTATATTGAAAATTACTTGTAGTATATTATATAATAAGTTATAAAGTAATTAACAAAATTATGGAATTGCATATGCAATTTTATTAATAAAATATAATAAAAATTAAAATTTTTGTCTTATATAAAATTGAAAACTTTTATTATATTTTATTAATAAAATTGTATATATAATTTTATAATTTTATTAATTACTATATTTATTATATGATTAGATTTTTATATAAGTATTTTTTTATTTAAGTATCAATATTAGATTTTTATATAGTATTTATATGATGACAATCAAAAATAATATATAGTATCAAAATTTATTAAAAAATATAATAAAATACAGGTTTTTATCTTTATATGAAAGTTTTCAATTTTACTAATAAATATTTTTTATTTTTACATTAAAATAAAAATAATATTATATATTTTAATATATATTTTTCAGATTTTTCAGATTTAATCTGATCAAGTTATTTTAATTGCATATAAAGTTAATAATTTTTTATATAGTTTAATTATAAAAAAATTATTGATTTTGTAATTAAAACAACTTAATCAGATTAAATCTAAAAAATCAGAAAAAATATATGTTAAAATATGTGATATTATCTTTATTTATTAATAAAATTTAAAACTTTTATATATATATTACAATTTTGATTATACTCTTCAAAATAATAATATTAAACTTTGAAATAATAATAATTCAATTAATTAATTTTATTAACTAATTTAAAGTTTTGATTTTAATTTAATTAAATAATGACTTTTATTATAAGTTTCCAATATTTTCAATTTTCCAAATTTTGAGGAATTTCTGCACTTCTAGATAGCCAATTTCAATAAAAAAAATCTAAAGGTTAAGACAATCAATGTTAAAAATCTAATAATTTTTCGTTTATTGAATTGATCTCTGCAATAAGATGATTTATAACATTGTATGGAAAGCTTAGTTTAGAAAATGATTAAATTATATTATATAAAAATAAGAATATACGTATCTATAAAGATTAAATGGCTGAGTGGATATTTGACATTTATTTTGATCTATTTATTTGGAGTTACTACTGTTTGTTTTTGCTGCTGCAATTTCGTTTGATATTCCGTTTGTATTTTGATCACCTATTATTTGTTGTTGTTTATTTGTTTAAAAAAAAATGTTTTTTCATAGTCTCATGGATCACAGAAACTAGTTTTTTTTTGGGAAATATAAAATTTACATACCTCTGTTTTTTTTGACTCTGATTTTTGAGTATAATCTTGAAGTTGGGCTTCAACTCTTTTTCTAATTGGTTTCAAAAAAGACGCGCCATTTGTAAAGAATGCCAAACACAGTCAATAAAAAGAAAAACCATACAATACATTTCACTTCGAATATATTCTAATCGTTTCGCAACATTCGAAACAGCCTCTGTTTTCTCTTGTTTGACCAACACCGGGCCAATTAACTTGTAGATATTTGCATCATCCTTGAGTAAGTTAAATTCCTTAAAAGAATTAAAGATGCAAGTCAATTGTCATACTAAGAATGTTAATAATGCTATTTTTTACGTGAAGAAATTGAATTTTCATTTTAGTAGAAATCGTGAAAAAAAAAATACCTTTTGAACAATTTCATTCTCTTGTAGTTGTGAGTCCAGTCGTTGCCGTGCTTCTATTGCATTTGAGAGGTCTATCAAAAGTGCATGTTTGATGGTTTTTGTGAATTTTGAGTAAATTGTAAATTCAAAGACATTACAAGGAAATTTAATATCTTCATTACTTAAAGCGCGGAGCGACACGAAAACAGTAGCTAATTTCTTTCTTTTCTCGCTATACCTTTTTGAATTTTTTGAAACTCCTGAGTCACCGTTTCTAATCTTGTTTCAAGAGACATAGCAAACAACGATAATAAAGTTTTACTGGAATTTTCAAATTTCTTAACAACCAATTATAATAATCGTAATGTACCACAATCCAAAATTTTAGTTTTAAAAACGCAGAACATCGAAACAAACTGATTTTATATAACGATAATGTCAAAATTTAGTTTCTCTTCAGCTGTAGCTACTCTCCAGGAACTGAGAAAAACAGGGGAACGAAAATCTGATCTGGTAGTTTCACTTGGTGAAATAATTATAGAAAGTGGTCATGCAAAGAAACTGGGAGATGAAGGCAATAAATACTTTATAACATGAATAGACCATTACGATTTTAGCTAATAAAAGTTTTTCATTATTTATTATAGTCTGGTCTGTGTACGAACAGATTTTTATAGCGGCTCTCGATCTTAAGAATGATAAATTGGCAAAAGTTTGAATTTTTTACCTAGAGAATTGTTCATTTCATGGACACCTTAACAATTTGTCTGATCCATCTTTTTGCACGATCAACTTAAAGATATGCCTCGATAACCTAGAAAAACGGTTTGCAAATTCACCACGCGTAAAAATCTTGGAAGGGATGAAATTGGAAGCGGAGGGTAAATTAGATGACGCGTCGACAATTTATAAAAATATTCTGGAAGCGGATGAATCCAATGTGGCACGTATTTATTACCGCAAAATACTCTCTATAATGTAACCCCCACCCCCATATAAAGTACTCTCTTTTTTTTTTGAGAGGGATTTCTTGCATTGGACCGGGTACTTTAAATAGTATGTTGCACAAGATTGTAACCTTTAATTGGATATAGACTATAGTACCCCAGTTTTATGTAAAATACCCGGGGTACTATAGAGGGTATTTTACGGTATTATGATCCATTTTGTTATAGAATATTTTTAGGCGAACGATCCTAATATTATATATATATTTTTTTAATTAGGCAGCTGGAAAACGAGTAATTGCCACCTTTAAAGCAAAAGGACAAATATCAGAGGCAATTGAAGCTTTATCAAAATACCTTGATGTATATTGTAATGATACAGAAGCATGGTTAGAATTGTCCGCCTTATATTTAGAACAGCATTTGTGGGTTTTAGCTTCTGTCAAATATTTTGTTTGAAATATAGTGGAATTTTTTTCACTTTCATTTTTATTGTTATTACTAATAATATTATTATTCTTAATTACTAATAACGTTTGTTGTTCCTTTTTGATTATTTAATAGATATCAACAAGCGAGATTTTGTCTCGAAGAAGTAATTCTACTACAACCGCAAAATCACCTTTCTCATCTTAAATACGCAGAGATCTTGTACACGAGCGATAATATCCCGCTAGCACTTCGTGAATATTGTCGTGTGGTGGAATTATGTGACGATTATTTGCGGGCATTATATGGAATAAAATTGGTAAATAATCAAGGAAAGACTATTTCGACTGATTTCCCTTTGAATTAACATCATGCATGTTATAAAAAAATTTTAGTGCACTGAACACCTTCTAAGTTTGGAAAATACATCCAGCTCCTCTTCTAAGTCGCAAGTGTCAACAAGTTTATATGACGCGAAAATCCTTTCCGAATTGAAGCTTTTGGCAACTGAACGAATTCTAAATACTTATAGCAGAAAATCTCGTGATACTGCCACTGACAAAAGTAATGAATTTAAAAAATATATAGTTGAATGGTTACAAGCTGCATAGCTTAAGCAAATGAAAGTAACATTTGAAACGTGAATGTCATTCATATAAAATCTTTTTTGTTTTACTAATTTAATATGATTTTTATTGGTCTAATCAAACTGTAAGCTAGAAAGCTCAAAATACATTAAATTTTTCTATATTAAAAAGATATGTCAAAGATACTCCACCCCTTAGAATAAAAATCTTGTATTAAGACTATCATTTCCTCAATTAAAAGATATAATATTGAATGGTTACAAGCTGCATAGCAAACCAAATCAAATTTTTTTTGAATAATTATAATTTAATAATCAAAGAACTGTAATCCAAGAGGCTTGTTATAATTCATATAATATCTCCCGACTAATTGCAATGATATCTCGAATACGAATAAAATAATTTACTCTTATGTGTTCAATCAAACATTATTTCTATGTAACAAGCAATGTCCATACACACATTCATGGAGTATATATACGATGTGCACTCTAAAAGAAGGGTTATAGTACGGAGATAAACAAGAACGAGTTGTTTATATGTAATTTCACGTACCTCTTCTCGGCGGTGGAACATACAACGTTTGATCATTCTTTTGGATTTGAGCGTTGCTCCCGTGGAATATTCGACGTGTATTCGACGAATTTCCACCATTGGGTCTGCCAGTCATTATCACATTATTGGAATACTTTGCTCTATTATTATTACTACTATTGTTGTTGTTGTTATTATTATTATTAGCTGGTTGTTGGTAGCGCATTACGGTTGGACCACCGACTACTCGAAAATTATTTCTTATTGTAGTTGTTATATTGGTGCTTTGAGTTCCTATGTTTGATGGATTATTGATCCTCGGTTTTTTATTGTTTATGTTTACCGATGTCACTTGTACCGCTGATGCTGGCCGTTTTTGTGGAGACGAAGTAGATTGTGATAGCGACGGCGATGATGTGGGTGTGTTGGCTTTTGTTACTTTTGTTTTCGATAAAGATTGATTTTGAGCGGAAGATGCTGACATCTTCTGCCAAGAAAGTATAATCTTTGGATAGGTTCGGAATTTGGATGGTTTTAAAAGCTCCTATTTTTTGATGCATACATAATAAAACAATTACCTATTACCAACTATTTTGATTAAAATTTAACCATATTTGAATCATTCATTACCTTAACCATCGAGAAAATGTTTTCCGTCATGGCTTGGCCATTTTTGCATTTTTTAATTCTCTGTATGAGAGAAAAACAACACAGTTTGGATTAGCAATCAGTATATAGTTCAAAAGTATTAAAAATATAAGCACACTAGAAAACTTACTTCAAGGGTTTCTGGATCTTTAGGTGAGCGCTTTTCTAAATCAATCAATCCTAATTTGATACTACTAAGCGTTTTTTGAGTTTCCATATACACATGTCGAAGCCTGAAAATGCAAAGAAATCTTGAAATACTGGATTTCGGTTATTAATAGCATTTGAGCATGATATAAAAAAATTAACCTTGAAGACACTTCGTCGTTATCGATTAAATCTGGAACCTGAAAATAAATATCAATTAAGAAAATTTCTCTGATGTTCCGTAAAATACTAATCAGAACTCTAATTTGGAAATTAAAAAAAACCTTTGCATCGAAATTATATAACGCATAGATTATGTATTCTACTCGAGACAAATCGAGTGCTGGTGGCTTCGCACTTGCATCTGTAGTCGCTTGAGGAACTTCATTCTATTAATAAATAATAATATTTTAGTTGATTTTCAATAGTTTTCAAGGAATCTTAGTATATTTCCGTATGAAGTCTTTTTAATTATACATACATAGAGTAATTGCTTAACCAACGGAACAACATCTTTTAATTTTGCTTCATCTGGTTTTGCCGCGGCACATTCAGCAAGGAAGCGTAATATTGTTCTTTGTTGTTTTTCATTAAACTTTGAGAATATATCGACAGGCAGTACATTTTCAGATAAAAAGATGAGGAATGAAGTGCTGGGTACTCCTTTCTAACAATAAGATGAATATTAAATCAGTAATGTAAAATTATGTTGCAAATAAGAGTAAATGGAATATTTCGAATATATCTTACAAGAAGTATTTGCGATGCTGCTTTTCCGCACGAGAACAATTTTTGCACTTTTTTTTCGTCCGAGAGCTTTTTTGAGAGTTGGATAACAATAAGTATGATATAATGGGATTAAATAATGGGAGATCATGAGAAATATTACATCAAATTTTCCATCTTCGGTGACAGAAATAAACAACTCCTGTAACAAGTTTTCATTGTTCTTTTGATTATTTTCAAACATTGGCAATGATATAAGCATCTTGAAGAAAGTCTCGAATTCAGGTACTTCAGCGGGTCGTAAAGCCTGTCAAAAATATTAAATTCAATAAGGATCCATGCTAAAATTAGCGTAATAATATAATAATCATAGTAAACCTTTTTTAATTCATTAGCAAAAATTTGCTCTAGTTCTTTATCTTGCTCAAATAAATCGCCTTTGAATTGGTTTAAATCATGAGCCAAAAATTTGATAGTTCGATTACGCGCTTCTACTGATCCGTTCATCGTTTGTGCGAATATGACTCTAATGGCTCGTTGCGGATCACTTCTAATGACTGTCTCTAAGGCTTTCTTTACTGCGGCGATCTCTTGTGCACTCTCTAATATAATATGATAGCCAGTCAATGAGAAATAAGTCGATCTTGAAAAAATAAAGACGAGACAAAAAATGCTAATAACCATTTTGAAGTAGTTGTAATAGCGCGTCAGCAATTCTTTCCGAATAGTTTTTAAGTTGTTTCACTACATTAGGCATTGCTTTAATTACTTCGAGACGCACCTAGATATTATGTAAAAAAATCAAATTTAGACAATTCAACTTATCCAAAAAAATATTTGAAATATAGTCGAATAATTTACGTTCAAGTCAGTATCTTCGCACAAATCAAATAAGGCATCTATCGCAGTTTCATAATACTCTGGAAAATGCTTGAAAAAGGTTGGAATTAATCGCGCAGACAAACGCTTGGAACTCGTGGGTCCATGAGCACCATCAATTAAGATCTGGTAAGCGTCTTTTTTCTAAGCGAGAAAATGGCACAAAGCCAATGAACTGCTTAGTATACTTTAATTAACGCAATGCACTAAAAAAAAACATGGAAGAAAAACTAACTTCAGAAGCGTTCTCTCCAGCTTCCTGGATTTCGGAATAGGCCTTGTAAATCTGTTCGACCGTGACTTGTGGCATGGTTGTTAAGGCAAAAAGAATTATGATCCAAGTGTGTTTATAAATTCCAATTGACCAATGATTTTCCGACACATAATTCTGACCAACATTATGTTCAGATACGATTTTTCCTTAATGCCGGAGAACATAAGAAATTGGTCCGTCTTTCTGATCAAATTGTCACGTGGTGTAACTAAAGTGGCTGCACTGTATAATAATACACTAAAAGATTGTAACATTGCACAAAAAACACAATAGTAGATACTCAGTCAACGTGCTTGTCGTACACGCAACAACAACAAACTTCAAGTATATCAAGGAACTATTATTATATTGCTCCAAGGAATCACACAAAGTAAACTTTCATACGCTTGATATTCTCTCAGTTCGACTAGCTTACGACTACCGCTATATAACGCTACTGAACTACTGTAGGCTGAACAAGCAAAAACAAGTGATTGATAGTTTGTGTGTTACTTCGCTCTTCAACAAAACTATCAATTGCACTTGATGGCTAACGAACACCCCCAAACAGCTCCAAATTTAAACTTTAATCCATCTGGTTTTCAACCCGTTCTTTCTACAATTGAATACGCGCACGCTCAGGCTTTGAACGATGTGCGCCAAAATCAGTCTGCTCAACAACTTGATGTCGTAACTACAGGACAATATTTTCAGGCATCAGGCAAAGAGTGGGTTGAGTCTTCACAGAAAAGTCAGTCTGGTGCTAATGGTAATGGTGTTAGTGGAATGGTTTCTAGTAATGTAATATTAGGTGGTGGAGGTGGAGGCACTAATGCAGGTATCAGTAACAGTAATGACGCGCATGTTAACTTATCAATACACAGGAATATTTCTGCTGCTGATATTGGGTCTACGGCAGCGGGAATGGGCATGATTGGATACAAGAACTCTTCAAATATTGGACAATATCCTTCAATTAAATATCCACCTGGATTTACAGGTGTCAGCAATAATGGATTAGTAATGGGAAATGGGGCAAATGGGACAGATTATCATTATGGTCACGCCTCGTTCAGTAATGGTTCTAACAATATTCAGAATAGTAATAGTAATAATAACAATAATAATGTAGTATCGACAGGAGGAGCTGGAGGATATGCACGCAGCAATAGTATATCAGTGATACCTCAAAGCTCGCATACTGAGGATGTTGCATTGTATGGAAATGTTTCTTTTGCAAATCCTTTGATTACAGCTTCACAACCTCCACGTAGTATTAAAAATCCAGCAGCATCGAATTTTGGGATTGGTGGAGGTATATTTATTTTTTTTTAGTGAATTTCGGGGAAAGAATTGCTATAGTAATATTTATTTTTTTGACGGCATGTTTAGCGGACTATAAATCTTTTGACTTACAAAATCAACTCCAAACATCTCTTAATTCCTTGTCGGAGGAAAATCATGAAACTGAATGGAACAAAAAAATTATACTCGATGATTCTCCAAAGGTATGCGCTATGTTATTTTATTATTAACAATTTTAAGATCATAAACATCATACTAAATTGTTTATATTCAAAAAAAGGAATCGATTGTTTATAAGCCATTGAAACCAATGCGATCAGCTACACTTCCAACAACTCAGTCCGAACTTAATAACATGAACAATGGTATATACGGAAATGCAACAATGGTTTCACCAACTTCTCCTTGGGGCCCTGCATCTTCTGCGTATGTCACCACCCCATCAATTAATACCAGCTTGGGAGTACAAACTCACGGACTGAATAATACTGGGAGTTATTTTCCTCCGCAGATGCAACAAACTATTCCCAGTGGAAATGATCAATACGTTAGTTATAATGTTGGGTTATATAACACTAATCTCAGAAGGCCATCATCGACCAATAATATCCAGGCAAATGGCATCCTGCATGAGGATACTAATCATGTAAAGTTTGATCCTGCCTCACTAGGAGGCGGAGTGCTTTTAGAATATTATGATCATAATAATTCAGCACTAACAACATCTCCAACTGGATATTTTCCAACTTCACAACAGGTTCATTTTCAATATCGATCTATTGGAAATGCGTATCAAGTTCAACATCAGCAGCAGCAACAGCAGCAGCAGCAAGAGCAGCAACAGTTGCAACAATTTCATCAACAACAGCAACAACAACAGGCAGCGCAAAAAGCAGCTCAATATCAACAACAACAAGCGCAACAACAAGCGCAGCAACAATTACAATTGCAGCATTATCAGCAACAAGTACAAAATCAACAAAATCAACAACTTAAACAATTACATCAAGCACAATTATTACAGCAGAATCAGCCTCAATCTCAGCAGCAGCAGCAACAACAGCAGCAGCAGCAGCAGCAACAACAGCAGCAGCAACAGGAACAGGAACAACATCAGCAGCAGCAGCAAGCAATTCAAGATCCCTCTTCTACATTTAGACTCCCTTCATGGAGTACGTCTGTTGCCTCGGCTGGTTCATTACGCCGTAGATTAGATGGAAATGGAAGTAACGGCGGAGAAAAAGTTGATGACGATGGTGTAAAAGGAAGTATGGCATTATATGATAAATCTGATGTTGAGGACATTATATTACCTTCACGTGACTTAGGAAAATATGTCGCTGGTAATGAATCAAAAAACTTTGCTAGAAATGAATTAAAATTAGACATTCGTGGTCTTCAAGGACCTACATTAGTTGCTCCCCCACCCGGATTAGAGAGTTATCGAAGTCCGACTTCACCCAGACCCCCTATTACTTCTCCTGTACTAAATGGCGATCATATCGAACATTATTTTAGTCCTACATTGGCAGCGCTTACTTCACCAACATTAGCTAGTGTCGCTGTTGCTAATCAGAACATTTTACTTGGTGTTAGGGATGACTTATCATCCAAAGTTCAAAATAATCAATCACTTGGGCTTGTGGATGTTACTGACATATCAAATAGTTTAAATAATATGAGTTTGATGAATTCCAATGGAGGTGTCTCGACTTCAGATATTGGTCAAGTTGCGTCAAATGAGCTGACAGTAGTGCATGTGACTGGACCTACTTCAAATAATAAGCAACAGGCAAAACTGTCATGGGCTGCGATTGCCAAAACTGCTCCAAAACCTCCTCCAGTAAATACTTCTCCTGAAGTTTTGGGAGTCGTCCCAGGGGCTTATAGTGCGGCCATCTCACCTACATCCGCCGTATCACCAAATTCCACTTTTGCATCTAGACCGATGTCTGCACCTACAGGTGCCTGGACTGGTAAAGCAAAAATTGCTGGCGCTAATCCGGGTAATGGGATGAATAGCCTATTTCCCTCGCAGCCAAATGCAGGATTAGCGCCTGGTTCGCTAACGATCTCTACGGGTTCATCAGCTTCGAAAAAAGATATTATAGCGTGGGTTGCTGCGAAAGGTTATAATCCAAAATCATTCAACTGCAAGCCACCACTTGTAAGTTTGTGATATATTTTTTTAATTGAGTTATATATTATTTGTTGATAATTAATAAATTTTATTTTTTTTTATAAGGCACGTTATTTTGTTATTAAATCTTATACTGAAGACGATGTTCATAAATCATTAAAGGTTAGTTAACATCAATATCATCATTAAGTAAATTTTCAGGAGTTGTTATTCTTGTTCAATCACTTTATTCATCTTTGTTTCTCTTTGTTTAATTAGTATGATATCTGGGCTAGCACTGAAATTGGCAATCGACGCCTGGATAAAGCATTTCGCGAAAATGCTGATAAAGGTCCCATATATTTGTTCTTTAGTGTCAATGCGAGGTATATTACGTTAGTTTGAATAATCAAATTTGGAATTAAATGAAGAAATTATATTAAAAACGTGTCTCTGTTTTTCTAACAGCGGTCATTTTTGCGGTATGGCACAAATGCTTACACCAGTTGATTATACGACAAGCAGCAGCGTGTGGGCACAAGATAAATGGAAAGGTGTTTTCAAAGTTAAATGGATATTTGTCAAAGATATTCCTAATGCTCAATTAAGACATATCCGAGTTGTGTATGTATCAATAAAAATTTTCATTCTATACGTTTTACTTGTATTCGCAAAAGAGTAATGCAATATATTATAATTTTATTTCTTTGATTTTCTATAATCAAACTAAACCACAGAAATAATGAGAATAAACCAGTCACAAACAGTCGTGACACTCAAGAACTCTACACAGAACCTGGTCGTGAAATGTTAAAGATATTCTTTGAATACCGAAGTAAAACGTCCATTTTGGACGATTTTGAATTTTACGACAAACGTCAAGTCGAGATGCGTAAAGATGGGATCGCTCCTTTGGTAGGACCAACCAGCCCAGGTCCGATTACCACCAATCCGTACGCAAATTTAACACCGATGCCTGGAACAAATCCAAACACGAACATTAATAATAACAATAATAATAACAATAATAATAATAATAATAATAATAATAATAATAATCTATTAGTGGGTAGTGGAAACAGTAGTGGGAATGTTAGTGCGACTGCTAGTCTGAATGGAGAGTCGGATAATTAGGACTTTTTTTATAAGAGACGTTATTTAGTGCGAGAGAAATTCCCAAGAGGGATGTTCCTTTTTTTAATTTCTTTAGAGGACTATTTTGCAAGCATTTTTACTTATCACTGAACAATTATTCTTTATCTGTTTTTTGCTGACTTAAAATTTCAAATTTTATCATATAGCTTATTTTATTTTATTTTATTTTATTTCAGCATCAAACAAAAAAGACATTGATTTTTAGTTAGCATTTTTTTTTAAGGAAAAAAAACCAAGACCATTACTTGCACTATCATAAATATAAAGCCAAAATTCTAGGGAGGTTGGTTTATTTTTTTATTAAATAGTTTTTTACACTGATGGATAATTAATTACTATCTTGATGATTACAATAATTAATTAGTAAATGTTTTTCAAACAAAATATTAAATTTTATATTTTCTTTTATTATATTTTATACTTACTATTATATTCTATTCTAGTCTAAGTCTATTCTATTCGGTATCTCTTTTTGTTCTATTTTATGGTTCCGACTGCGAGTAGATTAGTTAGTTAATCGTATGTTTTGTTATCCATCATAATAGTAATGATATTTTTTTAAAATAATAATCCAAACAGTCAGTCCAGAAAATTTTGAATATCATATAAATATTTCTCTTTGTACACATGTTATAATTAGTTTTCAACAACAAAGATTAGAATGTGAATATATTAAAAACAAATATTATTTAAACTGACAAAATGCAAAGTTGATTTAGCATATATATATAGTTTCCCTCGTAAATGTTATTGATATCTTTAATATTTTTCGATTTAATTAAGAATAGAGAAATATTAAGTATGTCAAATAATTTCAGGAAATCTGTAATTATAATGATTGACATGTATTATTATCATTATTATTTTCATGTTTATATAATACCTTAAATAAATATAACAAACCTAACGTGAACAAGTAGTCTCATCTTCAGTCATTTTGCAACTCTTCAATAGCTGGACCTTTTCGTCTCTTTGCGGCTTCTAGCGAGTCGTTACTCACAATCTGAAAGAAATTTTTATCTACTATATACCGAATGCTTTGCAAAAGGATATTTCGCTCTTTTTGAATTTCTTTTTCGATAAGCTTTTATTTGTGTTAATTATTTCAAGGTAAGAATTTCAAAGCGAATTCTTGAAAAAACAACTGAGATTAAAGAATCTTTTACCATTCGCAGTAGATTTCCGGATTGTCGTGATTTTGCTTCGTGTTTGGACTGAGACTAAAAATACATAGTAACTTGAATAGAAATGAAAACTTGAAATGAGATGTGTACTAAAAAGTTACTTACTTCTTTCCCGGGCCTTTCGTGTATATACCTACATTTATTTCCGTGTTTACAATGTCCATTTTTATAATGTATACAAATTGTTTTTTTAAGATGAGCAAACTTTTTATTATGCCCAATGAAAGTCTGAACATTGTCATTGTCATTGCCCTTTAATTTGCTTGAATCATCGAGCTCTTCAATCTTGGCGTTTTGTGAAATATACTCTTCGCTCAAATTTGTCTCTCGTCCAAACGGAGCAGCAGACGCGGCAGCGATCAGAATATCAGCACCTAGTCTGATATCATCAAAGTTTTCAGGGCGATGATTCTGATTAAGCCTGGGCTTCTTTTGCTTGTTGCCAGTTCCCCATTCCGAATTTCCAAGTCGCTTGTCCCTCAGTTTTGCATTTGTTTTGGTGATCATTTCTCCTCTTGCGATCCTTTCTGCTTCTTGTTGTTTCTAATGGTCAAAATTTATCTATGATTAATTTTGGTGATCTATCGATACTATTTATAGCAGATAGAAGAGAGATCAAACAAGATACTTTTTTGGCAATGTTTGCATCGGTGGGATATCGTTTTTTTCTTTCTTCTATCCATTTTGCAATTTCTTCAGGGGTTTCAAGTTTCATTTTGATTCTCGGTTGCGTAACTCTGAGAAAAATAACATTACTGCATATGCATATATGTGAATCTAAACGTATGATAACTACCTTTCAAAATGAAGTTTACTTGGTCTATTTACATTAAAACCCGTATTCGAAGCTTTAAATCTAGACTGTGAGGTGTCAGTTAATTGAACATACGGAAATGTTGAAGTTTGTGGGGTTGTAATTGATGACTGTCCCACAGAGAACTGTTGATTCGGTGATGATGAAACCGGATACAGGTTAGGATGAAATGAGTTTGTCGTCTGCAGGAAATCTTGATGTATGTTAAATTGCGGAATGGAATTCGGAATTGGTGAATCGTTACTACTTTCTTGTTTTAATTGAGGTTCTGTAGGAATAAAGTTTATTATTTGTTCTCCACTTTGAACACTGTTATCTGTTTGTCCACTGTAAGATTCATATCCATTATTATTATAAGCTTGTCGTCCGCCTCTATAATTAGGTGAATTATTGAACTTCCCTCTTGCTCCTCCATAAACACCTCTCCCTCTTACACCTATGCCTACTCCTCCCCCACGTCCTCGCCATCGATTAATATAAGAATTCACATGGTTATATCCATTATCATGGAAATGATTCTTAGTATTATTAGTAGTATTGGCGGAGAAAGTATTGCTGGTCTGTGCTAACGAAGGGGAAGGTGCTGGTGGAGGGGCATAGCTTTTCGGAAGAACTGGATTCAACTTTAAATTATTAGTCATTGTGTATATAGAATCAAAAGAGAATCTATTACCGATCTACCAATTTATGAATTCGCGGATTGAGTTTAATCCGTAGATTTCTGTATGCAGAATGTCACATTACCGTAGAAGTTTGAATGGCGGTTATCCGTGCGTAATCTACAATAATGATAAAAGAGTCTCTCTTCTGTTCTTTTTGAGCACACTATCATATTACTCCGGCTCTTTTCTTATAAAAATCTTTACAATGGAAAGATTTACCTCAAGATTAATGGTCATTAACAAAGGCTTAGGCCAAGTTCGTCAGGTTTGTAGTAGCTCTTTTTTGAATTTTAGGAAGCGTCGCGAAAGAAAGCACAAACATTGAAGCTTTAGTTGAAAAAACATAGTTTGCAGCCGAAAAACTTGGAACAGCCGAGGATGTAACAGAGCTTCCACAAGAGTATCAAGAACTTGAAAAGGTAAATTTCCTATTTACTTTACTATATATGAGTATTTTATTTTTTCCCTGTAATTCCTCTTAAAGAATCATTGTAATTTTGTTAAAACTCTAATAGCGTGTAGATGCACTTCGTACTGTTCACGCCAATTTACTTCGAGTTACTCGAATTCACACAAATCCCTCTTATGATTATCCCGGACAACTTCAAGAATCAGTCGTTGAACTATCACGAAACGTTCAAGATCAATTAAAAATTTTAACGCAAAGTCCTGCAGAACGCGCAGCAGAAACAGAATCTCAACAAGCAGAGTCTTCTACTCCAATCCTCCCAAAAACTTTACCTCATGCTCTATCACGTGCTTCAGCTCAAGGAGCTGTATTATTGGGCACAGAAGATCCATTTGGTGCCGCGCTACTTAAATACGCGGCTGTACAAGAAAAAATTGGCGAGCATCGCGTAAAAATGGACGCGGAAATATCTCAAAAATTTGTTCAACGATTCAGCACTACATTGAATACTGAAATTCAATTTGCAATGAAGGCAAGAAGAAATGTTCAGTCTACGCGTCTGACTTTAGATGCTGCCAAAGCGAGATATAAATCAACAAAGACAGAGAGATCGGAAGCTGCGAGATTAGAAATTGAGCAGGCTGAAGATCAGTTTGTGGCTGCGGTTGAGGATGCTACGACGCTAATGAAATCTATCTTGGAAAAGGTGCGAAATCTTAATTTAATCTTATGAGGTGAAAACATATTTATGTCTTGTTTTTTATGTAGCCGGAACCTTTGCGTAATCTCGCCGACTTGGTGAGTGCTCAGTTGGGTTTTTATAAGGAAGCCTATGAAAGTCTTGCTGAACTTGCGCCAGAAATTGATGAGATGCAAGTAACACAAGAAACGTTATACAGGTATGTGTATTAATAATTTGATAATTGATTTATGTAATCTTATATAAATATAAATATTTTTTTTAATACGATAGAAATAATAATCGTAACGATTAATCAAATTGGCGAATAAGCAAATAATAATTTTGAAAGCAGACTTTTTTGTGATCTTTTTGGATATAGGATTATTGAGGATAAAAATAGAAGAATCTGTATGTAGATTCATGATAGTCATTGACTGTTCGCTTGTTATTTCTCTAGTATGTTTCTGTATTAAATTAACATTAGCCTTTGACTTATTACTACTATTTACTCTTCACTTTTAAGTATCATGTACAACTAAAATATAATAATAATTAATATAATAAAATTATAAAAAAACGACAAGTCCTAAAGCAATACATTTTTGTGAAGCGATCGTCGCAATTTTGGATCTTTGGTAAAACAGTATTCAATGTATTTAAGCTGTTTCTGTTGAAATGATTTTGAACAACCAACATTAACATTGCAAACAAGTTCCATGAATTTCATTGGTTGAAGATTTTAAGGATGATTCAGTGACGATTATTAAATTGTGTGTGAGAATTGTGATGTAATGCAGGGATGATGATATATATATGTATTTATGTTGTGCCTCAGATCACACCTCACGTGCTCATTTTCGGCCTTAACCAACTCTAACTCTAGCGTGATCTGAGGCAAGTTGTGATCTGAGGCACATAGGGCTGTTAAAAGTCTGGTTCGGTCCGATCGGCTCCAGAAGCCGAGTTTTTATTGAGGTTCGGTCCGAAAGACCGACTCAAGCACACATGATTACATTCACGTGCACCCGTAATAGTTAT